GCGGTAAAATACAAAATACCGCCGTATTAAATTAATGTACAACTACGGCAAAGGTAAATATAACGACGTCTTTCTTGTATTTCTACGACGACATCTTTAAATCTTACCAAGTTGGGGTTTTCATATAACGACGTATTATAGAATTTAACGTCGTATTTGTCCACTTTATACGTCATAAATTATATTTAAACCGTCGTCTGAATAAGAATTTTTTTTAACAATTTATTTCTTCGATTTTGTTATCCTACGTCGGTAGATCTACCTAACGACAAGAATTGAAATAACCACGACGGTTTATATAGAAAACCGCCGACATAATCAGATTATTCTGAGATCACAAGGGTTAGGAAATCTTACAAGATGGAACTCTGTTGCTCATTATAATCTTACCAGAAAGACAATATTTTAGAGGTTAATGATGTATGTGTATTTGTGTCTTTGAGATACACAAACGCACATACACATTAACATCCAAAAAATTGCTTCTGAAATTTGACGACGGCAGCCTCAGATTTGCAATCAGAGAGACAATTTTTTGGAAGTTGATGATATGTGTGCGTTTGTGTATCTACACAAACGCACGCACACATCAACATCCAAACAATTGCCTCCTAAAATTTCACGACGGCAGCCACAGATTTGCAATCAGAGAGACAATTTTTTGGAAGTGAATGATGCGTGTGCGTTTGTGTATCTACACAAACGCACACACACATTCACATCCAAACAATTGCCTCCTAAAATTTCACGACGGCAGCCACAGATTTGCAATCAGAGAGACAATTTTTTGGAAGTGAATGATGTATGTGCGTTTGTGTATCTACACAAACGCACATACACATTCACATCCAAACAATCGCCTCCTAAAACTTCACGACGGCAGCCACAGATTTGCAATCAGAGAGACAATTTATTGAAAATTGGTGATTTGCAATCAGATTTGCAATCCCAAGAGATGAGGTGAGACAGAGAAAGGGGCAAGAAGAAGTTGAAACCCTAATCGAATACTAAAACTGAAAGAACCCGTGGAAAAAAACCCTATTTATAATTAAAAAACCCAAATCCACGTCGGTTATATTACACATAACGACGTTTAACAAAAACAATCCTCGTCGGTAACAAATACATCACGTCGTTTTATTCTTACTTAAGACGACAATAAACGACGACGGTATAACAAAAACAGTCGTTGTTTTATATTTTTATTTGATTTAAATCAGTCACCTAGAAAAGAAACTTTACAAATTCTAGAACATTAATTTCCTCGGGAAAAAAAACTATATCTATAAGGCACTGTTTTTGAAAAATAAACTATAAGAAAAAGGGGAAAAAAATTATATTTATAATAAAAAAAAATCCACGTCGGTTATATTACACATAACGACGTTTAAAAACGAATCCACGTCGTGGAAAAATAATACGTCGTTTTAGTTTAGTGTTATCCACGTCGGTATATTACAATAAAACGACGTATATTATGAAATAAACGTCGTAACTTTAAAACAACCGTCGTGTTAAATATTTCTACCATGACGCGAGATATTGAGTTATCGACTTTTATTTAGGTTTTTTTTTTTTTTTTTTTTTTTTTTTTTTTTTTTTTTTTTTTTTTTTTTTTTTTTTTTTTTTTTTTTTTTTTTTTTTTTTTTTTTTTTTTTTTTTTTTTTTTTTTTTTTTTTTTTTTTTTTTTTTTTTTTTTTTTTTTTTTTTTTTTTTTTTTTTTTTTTTTTTTTTTTTTTTTTTTTTTTTTTTTTTTTTTTTTTTTTTTTTTTTTTTTTTTTTTTTTTTTTTTTTTTTTTTTTTTTTTTTTTTTTTTTTTTTTTTTTTTTTTTTTTTTTTTTTTTTTTTTTTTTTTTTTTTTTTTTTTTTTTTTTTTTTTTTTTTTTTTTTTTTTTTTTTTTTTTTTTTTTTTTTTTTTTTTTTTTTTTTTTTTTTTTTTTTTTTTTTTTTTTTTTTTTTTTTTCCCGCTGTTTGGGATAGGATGGCAGTTCCGGAAGACTGCGTGAAAAGAGGTTGAATCAATCCAACTTTTGTCTCATCAAGTCATGCATATATAAGGGTATACTTGCTAGCATGGATTGGTTTTTTTCTTGTATCACAATCCCTGAACATGACATAAGTAACTATCGATACTATAGATTGGCCTGCCTAAAGCATGACAAATTTATATTCCTAACTTAAACGTCCCAATAAATGGAGATTATTTGAAAAAAGCCTCTTGAAAAAATCTCTATAGGAGTTATGATCCACATTTTCTAAAATATTCTTCTTAAAAGAGATTTTTGCCCTATACTGATAAGGAAGCCCCTAAACAGAGGCATTAGTACCCTAAAGCACTAATAGGCTTAACTTTATGCATGCACATGCACATGAAAGAATTGTGGGATCACGAATGATGGTACATTTGGTTTTTATTAGTACTACTACAATCATCAAGGGCTATATTACATTAAATCATGTTGAAAAAGGAGAATGAATGTCAACAATTATAAGTGCTTGACCAAAAGTAATGCATTCCAGTTATCACTAAATCTAAGTGTGAATTGAACCTATAAGCTTTAAACACCAAATTACAAATGAAGGTTACAGATTGGTGTATCATCCTGCTAATACATAATTTTGGGCTTCCCATCGTAGATCGCCACATTTCTATAAGTACAGATGTTTTGCCATGATGTGATGACGAAAGTCTGTTAGTTTTGGGCCTAGCCCTTTCAAAAACCATTATACCTTGTTGTCCGGGCACAGGATGTTTATTGTAACACCAACTTGTAGCATGTGTTCAATGCATAGACTTTATGATACATGAATTTTTAAAAGCTCATTAAAGGAAAGATTCTCTTCGCACATATTAAAGTGTCATGAAATTCTTTAATAAAGGATTGCACTAAAACATCCAAGCCAGGTATGTACTCAATGATTATGCTTTGTCTTTTTTTTTTTTCTTTTTGTGCGTACTTTGACTTGAAAATTCGATAGGGTTACAACATTGTGTTTTGGAACTAGTGATCTTCCTTCATAGGAATTCTCCTAAACAATGTATGAAAACATTGCTAACTTGTATAATGAAAGTGAAAGATGGTCATCAAGGCTAATTAAGCAACACTCTTTACTGAAGTAGTTTTTTTTCGAAGTCAAGATGTCTAGAAGTTGTGAAGATTATGGGGGAATATAAATCAGGGGGAGATTCCAGTTTACTACATACAGGACATATGCGCGTTGTACTCTTTTTCCCTTCGACTAGGTTTTGTCTCATTGGGCTTTCCTAAAAGGTTTTATACAAATTATTAAATAACCCAATCCTAGACATGTATTATAAAAACCCAAGCACTATTTAACATAAAAACACACCCAAAATCAACATCAAAGTCAACTTTTTAGGTGTGTTTATAAATGGTTTTGATTGTGTGTATACTGGGTTTTGGGTGTTTATATGTTTAAAATAGTGCTTGAGTTTTTTTATAATTTCAACCCCATTTTGGGTGTTTTAGTGAACTCCCAAGGTTTTAATGAGGCAACAATAAGCGCGCCAACACCATATCAATAGATCCATAAATTGTTGCACTATTGTCCCCTTTGCTTAGGTTTTTGTCCCACTCGGTTTTTCCAAGCAAGGTTTTTAATGAGGCAACTATATTATTATATGGTAGACATCCAAAGGAGAGTGTTTGTAAATCTATTGATTGTGAATGACCACCATAATATCACTCATAATACCTACATAAAACACATCATAATGTCATTGTAACCTATGCACTAAGAGCATCCACAATAGGCTCCATAAACTACTTCCTTAACAAATTTTAGGGAGGAATAATAAAATACAAATCAACCACGCTCCCTATCCACCTCCTAAAATAGGGAGTTCTCTAGAGATCCTAAATATGAGGAGAGAGAAAGGACTCCTAGTGACTCCTTATAATTTAATACTGTTTTATTTAATGAGTATTTCAAATCTTTATTTAATGCTAACTATTTTTTATTTTATTTTTTAATAGAGATGGACCAATCAAAAAAGAGTTATAGCATTTATGACTCTCCAAATTAGGAGTACGGTTGGAATTGAAATTTTTTAGAGAACCTTAAAATAACTTTCTTAAATTTTAGCTAATTTTAACTAAGAAATAAAGAGCATCATTGTGAATGCTGTATTTAGTACATTTATGGGTTTAATTATGTGCTTATAACCTACTAATAATGGGTGGTGAATGTTTGTCTATCCCTGAAGCCTATAAATAGTAGACATTAAAGATGATGATATACCAGTTCATAGAAGTTCATAGAACAAATTCTCTATCTTTCTCTTTCTCTCATTGCTCTCTACAATTCCCCCTAGTTTTATAACACAAGTAACTTTCTTATTTTTTGTTTTATTTTTACATATTTTACTAAAAAGGAAAATTGTGAACACCTCATAACCGCAAATGAATTTAGGGTTCAGAATAATGAATTTGGGTCAAATTCAAGACAACCATCATTTTTTTTTTTTTTTTTTTTTTTTTAAGTTAGGAAAGAGAAGGGGGGAACTCACACATATAAGGATGGCAACGGACAATTTGGGGCCGGGTATGGCAAATACCATCCCTATCCCCACTCCCCGATAAGAAATTACTAATCATCACTACAAAAGAGGCCACCACCATTAACGTAATAACCAGCAGTTAACCACAACCAGTAACACTAACACTTAGAAAACTGAGTTTTACAATAACGTAAGACTAGATTCAGCTAGCACTAATTTCTCCAAAGTTCGAAGTTACAGTCCCATTAGAAACACAACTTTATGCTTCAGTTGAAAACAAAATGGGCCTTGTACCATCCTAAGGGCATCCCAGCCGAAAAGACTTTGGAAATCCGCCCTTGGGTACCAGGAATAAACGGTCTTTCATGGTTAAAAGAGTTCTAGAATATATTATAAACAAAAATTATAACAAAAAGAGTTCTCTGTTATGAGATATTTACATTCACTAGAGATCATCCAAACCATGCATATGAGTTCATCAAAGGGACTCTGCAAACTGGGGAGCCTCCAAGTCAAGCTCTTGTCCCATGACACAGTTCATAAGCCAATCACTGCTAAATGTCCATATCCCCTTCTTTACAGCCAACAATACTTCTTCCATGTCTTCTTCGCATGCCACAAAGATTGTTTTTGAAGCTTCATTTACTTTCTCCAATTCACTAATAATCTGAATTTGATCCAACATTAATCAGTGTCGACCGTTATAATATGAAGACACTGCTTAGAAATAAGACATTGACTAGCAGCGTTTTAGTTCTGAAAGCCACAATGAAGGAAAATGAACATGGCAAACAGGTATACAAACAAAGTGGGCCATGTACGTCATCAAAATTCACAAGCTCAATATTGTATACTGGCAACAATATCCCTCCCAATGGCAAATTCGATATTCCTCCCAAAAAGTTTAAGATAGTTTTGAGACTAACAGAGGAGTAAACATTCCAGATCAATATCATTACCATTAACAGTTTATCTCCTGACAGACGGGAGAACAATGATTATATAAAAGTGAAGTATTAAGAAAGAATGTACGAAATTGTTTTCAAGACAAAATGCCAAGAGACATTCTGGTCATCCTTTCTCCCCATATTACCCTCTTATAGATCCCCATCCCTATAATAGATAATAATCAATTTAAGGACTTACAATCTCCAGAATCTAACCATGTTTATGATAACCAGTAAAGATCAAGCACAGTGAACCTAACACTTGTCACACAACCAGTTCTGAGCAGTTTAATGAAGATGGGGGAAAATACGGAAAATGCTATGTTGAAATTGCCTCTTGCTCAAGCTGGTGTGTCCATGTCCAAATTTGAGAATCTTAAGTTGATATCTTGACACTTTTGTAAAACATGCATTTTTTATTTATTTTTATTTCGTTGCTTCCTCTAGAAACTAAGAAAGGTGAAGATAAATATTGAAGCACAAAACACGTAGTTAGCAGTGAAAACGCTTTCTGGTTGAAATTAAGGTTTTCTAAAACACATCCTGCCAGTTTGGTAGGTTTCATTTGCTAAAAATTCATTTTATAAGTATGACAAAGAAAATGCAAGATGCCATTCCCCTAGACCATTAAAATGTTCACATTTTCAATCGCAAGCATGCTTAACCAATATTTAGATTCAGAGTGAGGAACTTACATTTCCTCCAGCAGACCTGACAATGCAAGATAACATCCTAGCAGTGGGTTGAACATGAGCTGCTATGTATACATCGTAGCCTTTAAGCAAGCCTTGGGGACTTGCTTTTGCTCTGAGAACTGCACCTCTTAACTCAGTTTTATATTTGAGCACGTATTCTTTATCATCTAATATGTAAGATGATTCATCTGAAAAAAAGAAATCCAACAATGGGAAAAAAAATGCTTAAGGTGTTACTAATACAACAAAACCATAGTCAATTCAACTCACCCACATATCTTCCTTGACGAAAGCTTTCTTTCAACCAGCTGGGAGAAACTATCCAAGCTCTGCACAGCACAGAAAGCTCTATTAAATAATATAAATATATTATAGGACAAACAAAACTAAACTTTTCCTAATAAATTACGGCTATAAACAGAAATGAGTTGTTCATAATTGGGGCTTACACAGAAATGTGAAAAAATACCAGGAGTAGTTGGGGCTTACACGTGTTGTTCATGTAGGCTATAACAACCTATGTTTGGGGATGATTGAGCTAATTCAGTTGATTTTATGTAGCTAAATTATGGCTACTTTTTTTCAGTATAACTAAACTCTGGCTACTGATTGAGCTAACCTAGTTGATTTGATTGAGCGTCCACCACCTTTGTGTTTATTGAGGCTATATAAGGCTACGTATATTACTCAACTAAGGAATGACAAAGTATGATGATCGTCTTCTCCCTTTTTAAATGTTCTTTTCTACATGTTATCAGAGCGATATGCTTCTGAGAGCTACCGAACCCACAGCTATCCTTACTCTACTTTCACCACACAATAAAAACAAGAAAGGAATATAAATTTTCTTTATAAAAAAATTTATCTCTTCTCTCACTACTATGTTGTGGATTCCAATCAATCTTAATCGCCACATCAACAAATCCAGTGATCCTAAATACATAACTTCCATAACACATTAACTCCACCAATGAAGTTTGACTGTGATTACACAACCAACCTTGATATAACTGGCAATCTCCCATGTGAAATATTTTTCTGCTATTTTGGTTTAACTGAACACATAAGTTTAGGTTTTTTTTTTGTTTTTTTTTTTAATAAGCTAGAGGATTAGGCAAGAATAGGTCCTCAGTGAATGCCACAGGACGCAAGCATCCACCCTCGATCCCAGAGGAGAGAGGACCTACACTTTGAGGAGCCCCTCATTACAGAATGAGTGTTAATGTAATGGTAATTTTTGAAAGCATAATGTGTGGACACAAAGGGAGTCCCCCTTCTATCATAGTACCTATTAAAAATGTGAGGAATATGTTCAGCATATAATTAGTAAAGAAGATCACTTCATAAAGGCTTGTAATTACATAATTGACTACAAAACCTATGAGATCATAAAATGTAACAGATTTTTGCACTAGCAATGACAGTAGCAGAGAGAGAGAGAGAGAGAGAGAGAGAGAGAGAGAGAGAGAGAGAGATTGACTACTAACCCTGAACAAAGAGCAGTACAAAAATTCAAAGTTGTTCTCACTTTCCCCGTGACAACATGTGTGCTTGTGCTTCCATCAGACGTAATAGCACCACCAAGGTCCTCAATTACCTGTATATAAAACAAATATAAAAATCAACAAAACTCAAAATAATTATATGCAGTGGAGGGGAAAATAATTAAATTTCATTCCAAAATATTGGACCCTAAAACTGAAAAACGATTATCAGTGTAACAAGAAAAAGTAAAGGAAATGCATTAAAATGATAAAAAACAAAAAAGTACAGCCTCCTTATTTATATAACCGACAAACTCATCTTTTCTGGCACATTATATTAGTTTGGAGGATAGGAGATCTTATTCTTTTAGGAATGATCTCCAAGCCACGCCCATGATCAGGTCACGCATAGGAACCACTGAGCAAGGAGGAAAGGATTACAGTATTGTATCACCTCTAAGATATTAATTGGTCCCCTTTCTAATGTCAAAATAAAATAAATATCTACCAGGTCCATTCAGAAGCCCTATATTATTCACCCCACTCTTCTTGTAGGGTGAGTTCAAAGATAGAGAAGCGTGATTGAACAAACATATGCACACACACATTATGAATTAAGTTGTTGTGGTAGCAAACTGCACTCTGCAGATAGAAGACATGATCTTCAACTCAAAAATGGATGCTAAAATAAGAATGAAATTGACATCAATTATTGATATCTGACAAACAGAATTAATAGAATGTATACCTTTGTGAGATTTGCTTTCTTGGTATCATCAGCAATATTCATCAACATGATTTTAAAGAATTCTCTCCGTGTCTGAAATTCCTTCCTGACTAAAGTTTCTGATGTAATATTAACAGGTCCACATTCTTCAGCATTTTTTTCCTTGTAACTACTACCCAAAAGATCTCTAGGAGGATCTGCAACTAAAGGTTTGTCTTTGTAAGAAACAAAGGAGCACCCTCGTAGACAAGAATCACTTCCATCAGTTTCTGAAACTAAACTGAAGTTAGACTCAGATTGGCAGCCAACTTGATGGCTTCCCTTTACTTTCTTTGACTTCAATGATGACATTGAAGCTTCCCAGACCTTTCTCTTTGCACATGAAACTTGTTTGGAACAAGAACAGTGCCTTACATCAGCATCAACGCCACTAGTGAATACCTCTGCAGCACTGACGAACTTGCTGGAGTCTTCTCTGATGAGAGGAACTGGATCCCTTATACACTGCATTGTTTCCCGACACTGAGAACCTACCAAAAACATAAATCTTTAATACTTACCATCATAACAGATTGAAGTTGTCTATACAAGATATATGGGCAACTGAGATGTCAATCAATTAGTGTTTGTAAATGAAAAAAAATTCATTTTGATTAAGAATTTTCATAATGGTTTAATCTACAGTAAGAAAACGTGCATTCATATGATGCATACCCTTTTGTTTATAGGTATATGTTATATATATATATATATATATATATGTATGTATGTATGTATGTATGTATGTATGTGTGTATGTATAATGAAACCACTGGAAGTTCAAAGAAATTGAATAAACGCAAAACTACCTACCTTTATCTTCTCTTGGAAGTCCATTTACCAAATTTTCAGGCTGACAATTTTCACTTCTTAAAGACATTTGATTTTCTGTATTCAGAGTAGTGTAATTCCCTTTAGAAAATCCCGGCAGTTGGTTTTCCAAAGCAGTAGATGACTTTCCATTAGGCTTCAATAAAATGCCCAACTTCAAAGATTCTGAAGTATTTGTGGAAACATCCTGGTTAAGATGTAAAACCATGAGGGTTGAACCACCAGGAAAGCATAAAGCTCGACGAATGTCAGCTTTAATAGGTATCCTGCGGCATTTACCCTTGGTATCCACCTCTGCTATTGATACAAACCCCTGCAGTTTAGATCAATTTCTAGAAAACTTCAAAATTATGAACAGAAATTTTAACAGTATTTTAAAAGGAAACAAAATAGAAAAGAAGTAGCATATGGCACTAAATTTCCAGAAAATGTACCCTCATACTGTCAGATGTATATCTTTAAGAAGTTTCCTTCTCTATCTAAATGTTAGATTAATTATGTTGTGCATGCAGGCCGTGTTTATGTAAGAGAGAGAGAGAGAGAGAGAGAGAGAGAGAGAGAGACAATGAGGAGAGAATTACTTTCTTGTGATACAATATTTCCATCTTCATTCAAACAGAACAAACAAAATAATGATTGCCAAAACCAAGATGAAAGTAGAGTTACTATATCCTGCTCCAATTCTGAGGATTTACATCATGAATTACCTGTTTAAGCCAAAATCCTTCAGAATCCTTGTCTCCCCAACAGAATATTGTACATATACCAACACTCTGAAGTCTCTTTCTCAGCTCCATGAACAAGCAGGTACCAAATCCCTGGAATTACTGATTTTTTTAGTTAACCAGTAAAAGCAATTTCCAAATAATCCCACAAAATCCATTGTAGTACTAGAGAGTTAATATGGGGGAGGGGAAATATTGAAAGGCACATAAGTAACAACCAAACAAACGATATTCATTCTTAGAAAGGAGCATTTAATCATGTTTATTGGGTGTAAGTTTGTTCTCATTCTTAAGAATCGAAACATATATCCCAGAGGAACAGCATCCCAATACTAAACAAAACTTTAATCATAAGTAACACAATAAAGAATAAAAAGAACTGCTAAAAGAAAACATAGGAGATAAAAGACCTTGTGTTGGTAAATTGAACTGACAGCAGCAAGAGGAATCTCAGCATACTGTGTATCAGCAGGAACTATTGGTAAGTGATTGCAGCTATAACCTGCAAAAATAAAACAGAGGGGAAAGGAAGAAAACAGAAGAACAAAAATTATCATTAAGGGAAAAAAAGGCTACTGAATTTCATTCCCATGCAGTAACTCTATTCAAGCCTAAATACAATATAATTTAAAGGGTGCTGATTTTCCCACTTCTCTTTTGTCCACTTACACTCCCTTGTATGTTATAGTAAAAAGTACTAAAAAAAACAAAAGGGAGTGTAAGTGGACAAAAGGGGAGAGAAATTATCAACATGGACACAAATGTTCAGGGGTAAAAATTCAGTTGACAAAAGCACCAGAAAAAAGAGGACAGCAAGCCTACCTCTTCAGAATCTCCCACAGATTGCGATTTCAAAAGCAAAGTGCAATATTTCCTGAAACAAAAAAACATATATAGAGATTATCAAAGGCCACCTTGATAGATGTCGAGACAAGATGTGAAAACAAAAATAGGCACAGAACTACGAAAGGTTTATAAAATAAAAGAAGTTAGATAATGATACCCATTCGTAACGCATCTTTCTAGAAACATTGATTGCTTTCCAGTATTGGCAGCAAAATTCATTGCAGGAAGTTCCCTAATATACATCTTTAGTACTTCCTACAAGGAACAAACTCATATGAGATCATCCTTGGCAGAAACGTAAAGATGTCAGGTCAATAAAACTAACAGATAAAGAGGGCAACTATTTCACATACACACACACACACACAGAAACAAGGGAAGATTAGCATAACAGTATTACCTGGAGATAAGATTTTTGACAGCTATCGGCATCTTTGGGATTAACAACCACGAACGAAGGATTACCAACTAGAAATGTTTCATATGACGCAATACTATCATTATTTCTCTCCATCTCTTTCCTCACTGCCATAAAAAAAACAACCCAATAAGCACAATCGACAGTAACTTACTTAAATACGAATGCAAATATGAGAAAAGAAAAAAAAAAAAAAAAAAAAAAAAAAAAAGAGTTGGACTTTGTTTGTTTGTTTTAAAGATAACTATTGGGAAGGTGGAAATGGTTGTCGAATAAGTACCTGAGATGCTGATTTTGGCGCTCCTGGAAACGGAGATTTGGAGGGTGTTGGGATCCGACTGGCAACTGAAATTAGCTGCTTCCACTGTGACCTCGCAATTACCTGCGAAGGACAAGCGATTAGGGTGAGCGAATGGAATTGAATTTCTAGGGTTAGGGTTTCTTCAGTGAGATTTTCTTTACCGATTGGGATCGGAGAGCGTGAGGAAGACGGTGTTGCGGTCTTTCTTGGCGCCATAAGAAATGAATGTGTGGTTTTTGATTTTAGAAGTGGGAAGAGTGAGAGGGTTAAATAAGCGGGAAAGAAATGAGGACCATATTTTAAGTGAGACGGGATGTTCTATTTATACCCCACTAATAAAAGCACTTTTTTTTTCTTTTTTCTTTGTTTTTTTCAGAAATTTACTTCCGTTGATTTTATAGAATAATGCTACTCTTATTATATTTGTATACCATATCCTTATATCATCTTATGTGGCAATGAAAGTGGACAGCCACATCAATTAAAATTATTTAATATTTTCTTTTCTTTTATGATTTATTCAAGTATTTGTTTTTCTAATTATCTTAATTAAAATACACTTCATTGATTTAATTGATGTGACATATAATATGGACATATCACATCATGTGTGGTATGGAAATGTGAGATAAAAATGTGGTTAGTGTAACATTACTCGATTTTATATATAAACACTAAAATCTATAAATTAAAGGAAAAAAAATTCCAAAAATGATCAGTTAACTATTTTTTTAATTTCAACTAACCAAAATTTGATGGTTCACATTGTCATGTCGTTAAGTCCGTCAAAATATTATTAAAAACAATTATATGAAATAAGTGGGACCAGTTTTTTAGCTGAAATGAATGCTACATGTGAAAAAAAATGATGATAATAAATTTTATCTCTTTTTATCGGACCCTCCCCAGGAACTGCAAGTGGCAACCATCACCACCCCAACCCCACCCGCGAAGTCCACACCTCTTGAATTGCCATTGAAACCTACAAACAAAAATTTAGAACGAAAATTTAATCATTACTTGGCCAAGATCGATTCGAAGCACAAACAGAGGCTCAAAACCAGCCGCATGTTATTACATCATTGGTAGTTGGTATGATCTCCTTCTTGTAGTGATTAGTAAATAACTGGCACGTGTACATCCATGAGTGGCACGTGTGTTCCGCTCAGAATCCTCAAAACACACACTGCAATCTAACGTGGCAACTCATATCCATGCAAAACGCCACATCCCTCCACGTGCCTCTCCCCCAAAACACCACAGCCCTCCACTTTTAACCACCGCCACCTTCATACCACTAATTTTTTCAACTCTCTTTGATATTTTGGTTTCAAACAAAACACCGACCACCACCTCATATATAACGCTCCGCGAGCACAGATTTTCATCGTCACCATGGCCCCATGGGAAGTCCTTGACCTAGTTTGTCACCATCTTGACCCCAAATCCCTAGCCGTAGCCTCATGTGCGTGCAAGTCATGGCTCATTTCCATGTCCTCTGATCACCTTTGGAAGCCAATTTGCACATCCAATTTCCCTTCGCTCTCTACCCTAAAAATCACAAACCCTACCGTCCCCTACCGCCGCCTCTATGTCATTGGCTGCTCCGCTGCCAAACGCCGCCGACAAACGCCCCCGAAACCCCGCCTTCTTCTGGACAACCTCATCTTCACAATCAACATCTTCCGCCATAACAATTCATCATCAAACAGTTTCTGCACTCTCGCAAAACCCGGAAAGGAGCTAACCCTCGATCCCAATGGCATCTTCAAGTTCGACATCGATGTTGATAACTACGATGCGTTTGAGGCATTGGAAGATGAGGAGGCGGTGAGAGTGACGTGGAATGTGGTGTTGGAAGGGTGGAGGGGTGTTTTTGGGATGATGGAAAATTGTATAGGTAAAGGAGGGGTGGAGGGTTGGTTTTCGGAGGAGCTTCCTTCTCCGGGGTGTTGTTGCGGTTCGAGTGCGGTTGCTTGCAGTGGGATTGTGGCGGATTTGAAGTTGGGGTTTTGTGACGGGAGGAGGAAGGTGAAGAAAGTGAGTGTGGGGATTTTAAGTGTTGTAAATTGGAGATATGTGAGCGTTGATGATGCTCTGAGATACTTGCAACATTTTCTTCTACCTTGTGCTGTATGAACTAATTACATCATCTTTTATTTTTATTTTTAATGTAATTTGTAGTTTTTTTGGCCTACGAGCTTTTTATTGGGTGTTTGGTGTCCCAGAAAAACAAATCGGAACTGATATATACAAGCAAGGACTATGGCTCAAATTCCTTTTTTTTTGGGGGTGCTTTTGAAACCCAGGAGAAGGTCAACCTGGGTCCTGCCATACAGATACAGTCCAAACAAAACGTATTAGATTGACCTACATCTTTAATAAGATCACTTCCAGTCAATAAATTAATAATTGTGTTTTATTATATTTAAAAATGTGTCATTAACATGTTTGTTTGTGTGTGGGTGTGTGTAAAAGATGATATGCCTAACTTGCCTAAGGCATGGGACAAACTTAAGGACATGGCTTGGTGCAAAAGAGGTACCTTGCTGGGACAAAACATGGCTTTAGAGCTATATGATGTTTCACCACATTTTGTTTTTCTTACAACTTCTTTTTTATTTTTGTTTCAACAACTTTGTGCGTGTAAGTATTGTTTTAAGGCAGGACCAACAACAAAGTAACATTTTCTTTTTGCAAAATGCAGGACCACGTTATAGAATGAGGACACACCAAAAGCAAGAAAAGTTTGGCACCATTCCAAGGAGGACTAACACAAAGGCATCCAAGTCATTTCTAAAAACTATCAAGACAATCTAAAATTCCGTCCAAAATACTCATCAACGTAAGACACATGTTTATTCCGTCAAGATATCTGGATGTGTCTTTAAATCGCAATAAAAATCAAACTACAAAGTCAACTTACTAGTTTTCTTGACGTATGTGTCTTTAAATCGCAATAAAAATCAAACTACAAAGTCAACTTACTAATTTTCTTGACGTAAATCTGAATGTAACCTTAAACAGCAATAAAGAGCTAACTTACAGTTTTGAAACTACATGTATGCAAGTGAAAATTTAATCAAGCTACGGAGACGAATATTGAGTTTTGTAAAAAAAAAAAAATTCACAAAAGAAAAACGCTAAAACCCCCTAAAATAAATCTAAAGATAGTAGTATAAAAAGTCTATATAATGTAGTCTGCAACCACGTTCAAGCCTGATCCATTGAAGTGCGCATCCCTGACCTGTTTCAGGCCCAGAAAACAAAACATGAACTTGAAGGGCCAACCCGACCCGGCCCGAACTCTCTACCCGTCCTTTGCCATCCAAAGCTTAGGCACACAACTTGGTCTTCTTCTTCCCACTGTCTCCTTCCCTTGAACAAAATGACAACTTTGTTATCTATAGTAACTCTTCCTTCAACAGCAAAGCTGAGCTTGAAGCTTCTCAACAATGGCAACATACACGAAAACCCAATTCCGAAAGCTCATCTTTCAGCAGGTAAACGCATTCTACTCCTCCGTTTTCATTCACTTTTATCTTCTTTAGCTAGAACTGCAACCGCGTTCAAATAACACTGTTTTTTGGTTTCTTAGGCTTTAATTTAGACAAAAACAAACATGGCAACAAAGTTTCATTTATAAATTTTGCTGTAAACAACCAACAAAGCATAGAGACAACCCAGGAAGTTCATGGGAAGATTACACGAAGAAAAGGTGGTGGAATTGGAAACCCATTTTTGAGTGAAGGAAGAGATGAGGATGAGAGAAATGGGCCATTTTGCCCTGGCTGTGGGGTCTTTATGCAAGATAAGGACCCAAACCTTCCTGGGTATTATCAGAAAAGGAAGCTTACTGTATCAGAATTGTCAAATGGTGAGGAGGGTGTTGAGGATGAATTTGAAGAGTTTGATGAAGAAGAAGAAGAAGAAGAAGAGGAATTTTCTGATGGAATTGAAGGTAAGTATGAAGAAAGTGATGAAGAAGAAAGTGAATTGGAAATGGGGGATGAGTTTGACTGGGATTCAGATGACTTGGAAGGTAAGTTGTTGGGGAAGGAAGAAAATGATTTGGATTTGGATGGTTTTTCTCCGGCAGGGGTTGGGTACGGTAACATTAAAGAGGAAACTATAGAGAAAATGAAGAAGAAGAAGATTCCTAAAGCAGAAAAGAAGAGAATGGCTAGAGAGGCTCAGAAAGAGAAAGAAGAGGTTACAGTGTGTGCGCGATGTCATTCGTTAAGAAATTATGGGCAGGTGAAGAACCAAGCAGCTGAAAATTTAATGCCTGATTTTGATTTTGATAGGTTGATTGCTACCCGGTTAATTAAACCTGCTGCAAGTGCCAATCCTGTCGTGGTTATGGTTGTTGATTGTGTTGATTTTGATGGGTCATTCCCTAAACGGGCTGCAAAGTCATTGTTTGCAGCATTAAGAGGAACTGAAAATGATCCTAGGCTTAAAAAAAGACTTCCAAAGCTTGTCCTTGTGGCCACAAAGGTTGATCTCCTCCCATCACAAGTATCACCTGCTAGATTGGATAGATGGGTCCGCCATCGTGCTAAAGCTGGAGGGGGACCTAAGCTAAGTGGGGTTTATATGGTTAGTTCTCATAAGGATTTGGGTGTCAGGAATTTGTTGTCCTTCCTTAAAGAATTGGCTGGTCCTCGAGGGAATGTATGGGTTATTGGGGCTCAAAATGCAGGCAAGTCTACTCTAATAAATGCATTGGCAAAGAAAGAAGGTGCAAAGGTTACAAAGCTCACTGAAGCCCCAGTTCCTGGGACAACACTGGGGATCCTGAGAGTTGGAGGGATTTTGTCGGCTAAGGCAAAGTTGTTTGACACTCCAGGACTTCTACATCCCTATTTGGTGTCCATGAGATTGAATAGGGATGAACAGAAAATGGTTGAAATACGGAAGGAGCTTCGTCCTCGGACTTATAGGATAAAGGCAAGTTAGTTGTTACCATTTTGTTTTATTTTTGGACCATTTTTTCTTTAAATATGTTTGTAGTTGTTATGTGCATTCATCTGTATTTTATCCTTATGCACATTTTGACTAAAGCTAGTATAACACTAATTCTTGAGACTTCTTGTTGAAATCCTAATAATTGATCATATTAATATGAACATTTTCAATAACCTCTCGAGCATAGGTCCCCACTTTTCCGCCCTAATAAAAAGACATGTAAACTTGACTGCTTCTGTAAGCAATTAATCCTTCTTCTGGTTTCTTATTTTACGTTGCAGGTTATGAATGATTTGTGAAGCGTCAGTTGAATTGTTGTACTGGATTTACCTTAGAATGTTTTGTCTATGAACATGATTTTTCAGTGGCAAAAGAGGCTTTTTAAAATTCAGTAGATATTAGATTATTTTGTTTACTTGATATGGCAGGTACACGTAGCTTTATTCTATAATGAAGCAAGGAATGAACATTAGATTAATAGTTTGGGTGTTTTTTTACTATTATGTCTAGTGTTTCCAGTTTTCGTAGTTTTTGTTTCAATTGCTTTAAGTTGTTAAGAGGCTTTTTGGTGAGAAAGACGTTTGTGGTTTTTATTTTTAATTAAATATGGGGAAAGACAAATAACTGCACAATAAAATGATTCATGAATAAAATGCAAAAACCATAACAAGTTTCTCTAGTTTCTTTAACGTGTTCTCCTTCATTTCTTCCTCACATCCTATCTCCATCCCTCATTTCTTCCTCGCAGAGCACCTCCCTCCCTCCCTCCTTTCACCCATATGTTTTCCCACTATCTCTTTAACATAGCAAGGAAGAGAAAGACTAAAAACGAAAATCATAAGCGTTATCAAGCAGGCCCTTAAGTTATCAATTCAGTATTCTATTTAGATTCTACTGATATACTATTTGCCGATGCATGAGCTTGGACTAGTGCTTGGACTAGTAAATTTTGAAGGGGAGGGTTTGACTCAACCTAAGTGCTATGGGATTTAATAATTCATATGTTTGATATCTGCAGGCAGGGCAAACCATACATGTCGGTGGTTTAGTGAGACTAGACCTTATTCAAGCTTCTGTGGAAACAATTTATTTAACAGTTTGGGCTTCGCCAAATATTTCTTTACATATGGGGAAGATAGAAAATGCTGATGAGACATGGAGGAAACATGGTGGTGTTAGGTTGCAGGTAGTTCTTTATCCCAGTTAGATACATCTTTGCCATTATTATGTATTTTATAGCATAGCTAGCTCAATGCAATTTAATTTTGGATCTAAAAACTCGTAAGGATATTATAGTCCTGACATATGCAGGTAATATAAAATGATTGTTACTGAAATCTCATCTAGAAAATTGTCTTATATATATAAAAAATATATATATATTTTAGTGTGTAGCACCAATGGATTCATCATTTGAAACTTAGTAAGCAGTAAGAACTTAGTCATTAACATAGAAAAGGCCCACCAAATGTTTGACTGGATTCTTTGGAATCTGTGAGGGGGTGTAGCTTTATAGTGCTCTGAATCCACTGAAGATTCCAGCTTACCCTATAGTCACGAAGGACGAAACCTCTCCTAGAATATGTAATGTTGACAATGAATCTGATTGATTTGTTGGAAATGTTCCACTGCCTTTGCAATTTAAGACAAAATGGGCTCCTCAAGCGTACTGATGCATCACCAAACAGAAGTACAATAGGAAGTAGTATAGAAAAGTTAGATGCTCAAACGTAACTAAGAGACAATAAGTCTATAAGTGGGATCCCCAAGCTCAAGCGTACTTTAGTTTATTTCATCCGGCACAACGCACAACCGTATTTTGTGTCCAGGACTAGTCTATATGTGAACCTAAATGCTCAAACATAACGAAGAGATAATATTTTCAGTTGTCTGCCTGACTGTTTCGAAGTAGCATTGAGATTGCAGCATAATTTGGAGCAGAAGAGACCTGCAATACCTATTTGCAGTTTGTTTTGAAACGGTTTTTCTTGTAACATAGTATCATTTTTATGATCTCTTGAAAGGTTCTTGTATCTGCATTTGTGACGTGCTTTGCACTAAAGTAAGCTATGTTAATGTTTGATTAGTCTTCAAACTGAAAGGCACTTTACTATCATGGAAAGGTCAAATGAACGGTAGCATCCTTGGCATCCTTCCAATTGATTGATAATCATTATTATATATGTAATTTTTTGTTGTTGCTCAAATCGATAACCATCAATTGAAGGACACTGTTAGTACTATGTTTAGTTGCCCCCAATCTTCATTAATTAGTTTCTTTTCCCCTTTGAATATTTCAAGAAATAACATGGAAGGGCTCCTTTGGTTAAGTGTACGTTTTACTGACCGTACACGGCTTATACTTTTGCAGCCTCCAATTGGCGCCGACCGTGCTTTTGAGATGGGCACATGGGAAGAGAGGGAAATCAAAGTGTCCGGAGCAAGTTGGGATGTAAATAGCATTGATATTGCAATAGCTGGTTTAGGTTGGTTTTCTATAGGTCTCAAAGGGGAAGCAACCTTGGCATTGTGGGCATATGATGGCATTGAAATCACTTTGAGAGAACCACTAGTTCTTGATCGAGCACGGTCTCTTGAGAGACCTGGGTTTTGGCTACCGAAAGCAATATCCGAGGCCATTGGAAACCAGAGCAAACTTGAAGCTCAAAGGAAAAAGCTTGAAATGGAGAGTACAGATTTCCTTTCAGAGGCGTCCATTTGAAGAGAAGATAAGCATGGTTGCTCTGCATCATTTGCCGCTGGAAACATGGTCAATCTTGTAGCTCTGAGAAGCGAGTCACAGTTTAAAGGAACAGTTCCTCTAGTTTAATCGAAGGAAACATGATTGTATGCCGACATTGTTTTGAGTAAACCTAGAGCGTTAAGTATGTTGGTGGGATTATATAAATCATGAATACTGTTTCCTGGTTTAGGAATTGAGAGGAGGCTTTTAAATGACAGCTCATTCTGAGATGATTGGTTGAAGGGGGTGCAAATTATATTGAATCATTGTTTTAAGCCAAGATTTTAGATGACCTAAGGAAGTTGGCGACGGCTGAATTGCTTCTTTTAGGAGAAGATTTTCCCAAGCAAATGTAGAAGGGGAATATGATTGGTGTTTCTTATTTTTATTTTTTTTAATTTGAGAGAAATTAAGTTAAATGTGGCACAATTTGTTGAGGGATGAAAACAAAATTTGATGAAAAAAATTTCTTTGGTGGGGTATGATGAACAAATTATGGGTCTAATTACAGAATTAAAATGCTTAATTAAACTTCAAAAAATGCTAGTAAAAAGGGCTTCTCTGTGAACTTAGGTAATGGCTCTGTCCTTGAGGCTGAATTATGGGGTATTCTATGGGGGCTTACTCTGGCCTGGGACTCTGGCTATCGTAATGTTGAGGTGGAAAGTGACTCTTGCGATGCTGTTTCCTTGCTAAATAGCCGTACCATTCCCACTCATCCAGTCTTAAGCATCATATGTTGTTGCAAGTCAAAGATCAACAAGGATTGGCATTGCTCTATTAATCATATCTACCGTCAGCAGAATGTTGCTGCTGATGCTTTGTCTGCTAGGAGCATCGATTTTGGTCCTGGGATTCATCTCTTTGAGACAGCTCCTGACTTACTGAAGGATATTTTGTATGCTGATGCCATGGGTGTGTCCAGGCATCGTCTCGTTGCTGCCTAGGTGTTGCTGTGCTGGGCTTTTAGGCCCCCATGTTACCCAAAAAAATAAAAACAAAGCTAGTAAAAACCGTTGTCCAAAAACCCATTAGCAGGAAACTCTCAAACATGTCAAAAGTTGCGCAAGCTTGCTAAATAAGTTTAACAATTGCCAAAACTTAAATCTGATACACATCAAGAACTATAAAATTTTCTCTTTTTACTTCTGCTGTTAAACCTTTTTTTTTTTACAAGTTTCGTACCCCAAGGGTATTTTTGGTAAACTGAACAGAAAGAGCATCGGAATGAACAAGGATGGAAGCAAGTGTTTCAACCTTGCTCTATACAGAAATTACAGCGAGCGGAAAAACTACAAATTACTTAGGTTTTGCCATTGGCTAAACTACACAAGGAAGAAGTCACTACAAGCTAGCTGCTTTCAACGGGGCTGCTGGATGAAGCGGGGGCTGCATTTCGGGCTCACGTGCTTGGCAGGCTTCTCAGCATACCTCCTTTGCTCCACTGGGGAACGTTTGTCTTCCAGTGACTTCAAATTCTTCAAGACCGCAGTACTTGTTTCCAACCCTGTTGTTCCAAAAGAAAATTTGAGTCCAACAGTCTAACAGCATTTCGGAAACTGCATCAAATTTTTACATCCCAATTGCCAATAATCTACATTCTCTTGGAGTAGTTGTTCATACCATTTTTACTTTCAGTCTGAGACAATTGAAGGAACTCCTCAAACTGAGCTTCTAAACTGGAGAAGTCCTCGCCAGCATCGAGATCAAAGGTCTCTGGAAGCAAATCTGCGACATTGTCAACATCACCCTGGGCATTATCATAGAAGCCATCCTCGCCCTGTTGACTGAGCCAGTAGTCGTGGTACCATGTGGAAGTGGTAACCAGTTGCCACCATTCAGGGGAGAAATCCTCCACCTGCTTAAGAGCAGCAGGGATAAAGAGAGGGGCATTTGGGTTCAATGTTGATCCTCCTGAAACCATTGCCATCTTTGGCTACAGCGCAATTCAACTGCAAAGGAAAAATGCAGTAAATGAGATACTAAATCTTCTCTTACGCTTCGCATTTCCATGTTCCATACAAGTATATGTCAAATTGAAGACAGCAAATGCAATTCATAAGATCAACCCCTTTCTAAGCAATGCACTTTTTTGCAAAATTATTAAAAATCTCCAACACCACCATGGTTTAAATCCAGATCAGCCTTGCGAAACTGATGGCTTCAACCATTAAGGTGTCCCTTTGAAAATTATTAGAATTGTTGATTTTATATAAAACTAATAAATTTCCCACCAAAAGTTTTTAAAATCTAGACACACTGACCAGAATCTAAACATTTCTATATGAAATGGATAATTACATAAACCGAAAAAGCTCATCCAACTACAAAAAATTTAAATAAATAAAAATATTTAATCTTCAAAATTAAATACGAAAAAGTTCTTCAAAGATCATAGTCATCAAAAGCCATAGATCAAATAAATTAAAAAATCCGATTTTCAAATCTTCAATTTCCTTCACCAATTTTGTGCTTTCTGAACAACCAGATCTACCAATCAGAAAAGGTAGAGACAAACCAAACCCAAATACAGCTAAATCATTCACTCAACAGCATCTTTTACATAATCACTTGAACCTTCTGGCCTTAATTTCATTCCGCCACCAAAACCTAGTTTTCTATCGTTCAAGATTCCATTTTTCGTTTTCTCAGCAACCAAAACGAAGTAAAAGCATGTTCGTAAACCAAGAGATCCATTAATTAACAAAAAAGCAAGCGATAAAATTTATCAAGAAGAAAACCGGAGAACTTGTTTTCATTACCTCTGCGAAGCTTTGAGCGAAGAAGAAGAAAATATCTGCGTGCGAAATTTGAGGTGAAGAGATTGACCCGATGGCGAAAAATACGCGTGAGAGGGAGAGAGGGGGGGTAGGGCGGTTTATATAGAGACGGAAATCTGAGCCTCTGTGGTTGGGAGTTACGAACCTAAGGTTCGGGTGTACCGAGCCAGCCCACTGGTTTGTACTGTACGGACTTTTGATTTTGGAGCGGCTACAACTGTTTTAAGCCGTTGATCGCCTGATTGTTGTCACACGGTAACTAGCTGTTGTACATTGACTTTGACTGGATTCGTCAGGACTCAGGACCGACACGACTACGCCACGTTGCCACAAAATCCATCGTGCAAAATGTGAGCCCGTTTTTTGGTTTGTTGCCTGCGCCAATTCGGTATTCCAAAACATGTTTAGTACCAAGTTAATAAAATTTGAAGGTTTTCTACTCATGTTTTTTTTTGGGTTGAAGTACTCATGTACTATTTTAAACATGTCATTTTTGTTTCAAGTCGACCATATCCCTCTTATACTCTTATGCATCAATGTTATATTTTATGTAAATTTCGTAAAAAAAGATTACGTGTGAGATACGTGACCAACATAAATACTCGTCAATGAGAGTATAAAGACGAGTTTTTTCTTAAGAAGTTAATTATGCGCCTCACATGTGATCAATTTTGGCGTAGAATTAGACTAAATTGATGTCCAACATAACAGTTTATGCTCGGCATTAAAAAGTTTCTTTTTTATATATTTTTTGAATCCACAGCGCAATCGGACAGATATTGATTTTGATGAACAGACGGAAGGAAGATATATAGATTTGTGGAAGAACTCTGCTGCCCGAGAAGCTTGAGCTTGAAAGCGGTATCGTTGGGAATCTCAAGGTCTTATTTAGATAGGGGAACGATAATTGAGTTTAGTGATATTTGGTTAATTTTGTTCTCATGAACCTAAATTTGGGGAACGTAATTTATGTAAAATGTAGAAGAAACCGAAATTTAGTTGGGTAAGAATTTTGTTCTGCTACATTTATTGATTATAACATGGTACTTCAAATTGCCCTAAAACCATAAAATGATAAGAATCGAAGAGCCCATATCAAATCCTTTAGAGATGCTTGGAAATCCAAGGAAGATATTTGAAATTCTTTAGAGATGCTCTTATGCGCGACATAAGAGGATAGGATAACATTGATTGAATTGAAAGAATTGAGATGAAAATGATGTGATTGAAATAGTACATGGACTACTTACCAGTCATTAAAAGGCAAATTAAAATATATCTATAATTTAAATCATTAACCTTAAGAATTGAAGAGCCCATATCAAATCCTTTAGTGACGCTCTTATTTGTTCTATTTTTCCATATGCTTGGAAATCCAAGGAAGATATTTGAAATCCATCACTCGCTTGAGCCTTGGGTCTTGATATTTTTTACTTTTATTTTGGTCGAATTTTTTAGTGGATATGATGACATGAGTCTTGTTGGCCTGCATGTTGATATATCCTTTTAGCCCCTCGGCGGGCACAACGCCTTCATTGAGAAAGACAAAAGAGGTAAATCTCTCATGTGTTGGCGGTCCATCGTCATGGTTATGACAATCCAATCACAGCCGTTGATGCAAAATGGGCCCTACGCAACGCGATCTTGAAGGGTCAAGATTGCACCCTCTAGAAACTTGTATTTTGAGTGGTAACACCCCCGATTATTGTATTATGAGTTGTTTAATGACATCAATTAATTAACAATTGAAACGCAGGAGTGGAAGTGGGACCCGTTCATGTGAGCCATGTTAGACTTGTCCAACACAAAGCACCTAATCGACGGCCTGTAGACGTGCTTAATTTATCAACGGCTGATATCATTTTGTGAAAGTGATGACGCGTCGTATTTTTGGTGGGGCAAGGCTCGTTCTGGTTTTCTCCGCTTCCAGATAATGCGCGCATAGCACATGGGGTGTGTGTGGGTTGTAGGTCGGTTAGGTAGATGATCGTATGAGAATGACACAAGCCATATCCTGCCAAGCAAGACGGCGTACACCTCAACCATGCCCTCCTCCCATCATTATCACTAATCTAATTATAAATTTAAGATGTCACCGCAAATTATACTCGTTTAGTACTTTTATAATTGTTGTGGCAACTTCATTATGATTCCGCCTAATTACATAGTTGCAAAAAGTCGCTTTGGATTATTGTGTTTCTCGTGATTTATGTACTTATTTATTAGAAAGATGCTTCATTGACTATAAAAACATCTCAGGATACAAACCCCTTACCTTAACAAAATTTATTAGGAAAATTCGGTTAAGGAAAAAAAGCAATTAAACATCCCCCTTCATGTCCTTTTCTAACAATGGTGATAACTGATAACTAGGGGTGGTTGTGGTTCGGTAACCGCGAATTTTTACTCAAATCGCAAACCGACCGACTATTTGCGGTTTGGTGATTTTTAAAACCGCAAACCGACGTCATTTTGCAGTTTACCGCATTGCGGTAAACCGCAAAATGCGGTCGGTTACCGCGAATTAGCTGTTTAAAACCGCAAGTTCTCAAGCATTCACAAAAATATAAATTCACAACCTAAATAAATAAATACACAACCTCAATTTCTCAAACATATATAAATTCACAATCTCCTCAACTTCTCAAGCATTCACAGCCTAAGAAAATTAAAGTTACAATTCCAAGCATTCCAATTAAAGTTAAACTTCTCAAGCATTCCAATTCTAAATCCTTTAAAGTTACAAACCAAAAGGAAAATGCAAAGCAAAAAGAATTAAAGTTACAACCAAAAAGAAAAATCCAATTCAAAGTTAATTAAAGTTACAAACTAAAAGGAAAATACAATGCATCAATTTTACAAACTAAAGTTACAAACTCAAGTGTTGGTGGTGAGTGGATTTGAAGAACCCCGTTGTGTTGTTTGAGCACCAATGTTATCTACAAATAAAACAACATAGTTTAGTACATTTTATTATAAGAATAAGCATAAATAAACTAATTACTTACAAGTTGTCATATGTTTCATTTCTTTGTAGAATTCAACCTCATCATCCGTGTGGCTATACTTTGCGGTTTGCGGTAACTGCAAGTTTTGAAAATCAAATACCGCAACCGCAACCGCAAATGCGGTTCGGTTCTTAATACCGCAAATGCAGTTCGGTTTACCGCAATTGCGGTTTCATTGCAGTAAATTGTCGGTTGGTTTTTGCGGTTTTTCGATTTAAAATGCCACCCCTAGTGATAACCACGGCGGCGTTGCATCCTCCCATAAGAAGAGCTTTCCCTTGCACAACCCGAATTGAGCCAAAGCATGGGCTACACCATGCCTTGCCTGGGTTGATAAACGACTTTCAATACACCTAATTCCTCCATTAATTGATGGATGTCAGTCACTATATTGATCATTGTAGTTTGATATCCCTAGTGATTCAATGACACATCCAAAATTTTTATCCAAATTTGTGACAGAGTAAGCACATGTCCCTGACGTGAAGGGGTATTTTGGACATAATCTTGGTAAGCATTGGAAGAAATATGACATAATTTGTAACATGCTCTATTGCGAAGGATTTAAAACTACATAGTAAATTGGTAAAACTAACACAATTGGGACCAAAATGGTAAAACCAACAAACTACAATGCTTAAAAACGACTTTTTGCCTTGCATAATCTAGTAATTTTTCGGATATTTTACTTTGGTCCATATCATTTTAACACGCATATTAGCAAATTGCAAAGACATGATTACAAAAATGGGAATAATAATGACAAGATTGAAAATGAAACCAAATAGCGGGGATAAAAAATGCAACTTAGATGGAATCTGAATACTAAGCTTTGGCTAATCAAGTCTACTTTTTTTTTCTTTCTCATATTCTTTCATAACATAAATATTGTTAACAATGGAATAAGCAAAGAATCATTACTTGGAAAATTGAGAAACAACAAAACACTAATTCTGAATCTGATTAACAATGGAATAAGCAAACATCCGAATGAGCATTCTGCTACAACACAAACCCAACTGATCCCAATTAGAACATTTACACAAGAAAACTATTCCGGCTAACAAGTTATCATCTCATACAAGAAAATCCAAACAGATGGGAAGGAAGGCAAGCAAAGCAAACCCTTCTTTCTTTTATACTTTCTCCTTCACGTATTATTCATACGGAATTTGAATATATGCAGCATCACAAACGAAGGGGATATCTGCATACATGCCAGCAAGAGCACAGCGTATGGACTCCAACACTGTAAATAGGTAAGCAAATGCAACGGCTGTCCAGAAGTGCATCCCTACTTTACCCCAGTAGACAGCAAGTGGCATCCATCGGCTCACAGTCCCTATGACCTGCAAGGCAATCTCCAACAACATGCCCATCACCACATGAAATCTGAAGAAATGCGGCCATTCCTTTCTCCTCACTATTCCAAGATATGCAACAAAAAAGTATGCCATCAAGAACCAGCTGGGCAACCTCCCAATGGCCCCCAGGAACGGGTAAGTAAGGAATTCAAAGTCTTCCAGGAAAGGGTGTAGATGATAGGCTGTCTCAGCATACATCCATGTCTCATGTAGGGGCATTAAATAGGGGAGGCATGCTAATGTTCTCCACCACCACTTTGGCTTCTTAGTCATTGGAGGGAACCGAAAACTGTATGGGACATCCTTGGATGCTCGTGGGGCCATACGAGTTCTGCATCGGCTTGGCAACAAGGGGATTGTACGTAACAAGCTACCTTGATCCCCGCTTAAAAATGGGCTTGATACAGTACAATGGTGCAGAAGTGGCATAGCTATAATGAAGATAACATTGAATGAAAACAAATACTCAGTTCACCCTATGGGTTGATAATGACCTGAAAAAGTCTATTTGAGCTGATGTGTGTTTGTGTGAGTACATAATAGGTGGAGTGTTTGTGAAACACATCAACCAAGACTTACCGTCCTGATGAGCTCTCCATGAACTGACGCATGGAGAAGCCGCCCCAGTTTGAAAACGAGGAATGCACGACAAGACAAAACCACCAGTATTTGATGGCTTACATACTCTGGAATTCACAGAACTACACCCAGCAGGCATGGCGCATCCATTTTGAATCATAGCCAAGCACCTGAGATTAAAGCAATTTCATAAGTGGAAAACATAGAGATTAGGAACAAATGTTGCACGGGTTCGAGTTCAGGTATGCTGATACAATACGATTCGATACAAAACATAAGTCAATTAACATAATATACATTTAAAAATAATAATTGAAATAGAAAATTGATGGTACATCTATCATGTTACCATTATTACGAACTCTTGCCAACATCCCCCACACTACTCATTTCCTGTTCGAAAATATCGTTTTGATACAACAATTAATTCATCTAATCAACAAGAACCAATTCAATGACCACTGGTCTCTATAGTTTTCACTTTTCAGAAGCTATTTACAATTTACAAATACAGAGAAATAGCAGTCATTCAATATTCAAATTCAAAAACTTCAAAATTCAGTTACGCTACCCATTCCTTGGTATTGAATATCAAAACACAACCAATATAAGCAAATCATCTTCCCATATATTTCCACCACACAAGTCTGTAATGTCAAAATCCAAAAAACCCATTTTTTGTTTCTTCTTTATAAGAACCCTAAATCCCTAAATAGGAAAGAAGCAGGAAAAAAAATTCAATTGAACGAAGAAGAAGATAAAGAAGAATTTCGAAGAAAATAGGAAGAATTTCGAAGAAAATAGGAAGAATTTCGGAGAATTGTTTAGAAGAAGAAAAAATAACTTACAAAGGTGGAAGTGGCAGCAGCGGCCACTGGCTGTGGCAGATGGTGAGGACTGAGGGTAGAGGAGATGGGAGCGGCTGCAAATCGTAGGGAGGGAGGGATTTTGGGGTGACCTTTCCTTCATTTTTGTTTTGGTCTGAACGGGCTTGGATGCGGGCTGCTTAAGATCATTGGGCTGAATGGGCTTGAATTTGAAGAGGGTATTGGGTGAAGTTTCTAGCTGCTGGTTTCCACTTGATTTGTGTTTTGTGAAAAAAAAACACAACAATAAAGTTGTCAGCTATACATGAGTATTAGAATGATTCTAATTTATGATTTCTCCTGCGTTTACTAACATATAATGAATAAAAAATTATGTAGATTCCAAGTTAAAATGTGTAATTGAATACCCTTAAAATCGGGAATGAGATCAACTAGAGGGGAGTAGTTGATCTGATTCCTATTCCTTAATTATCCTATCTAAGTTCCCTGATTCATAGCTTCTTTCATTCATGATAAGTAAACACATGCCATTTAATTTCTGGTTTGGTTTCCGTATCAGCTAAGTACTATACTATCTTATTTTCTGTTACACTTATAAGCCAACACATGTTTACATATATATATATATATATATATATATAATTGGAGTTTACAGACTTCTATTTATCATTTTATTTTCTAAAACATATAGTCAATAATTTACTAATGAAGACTGCCAAATTTAACCAAGTAATGTGAATTTTTAAAGAGTGTAAAAAGCTATTTTGGCTGTTCAGATTATATCTAGATGCTCATATTAGAATTTGTAAGGAGTAGTTCATGTTAACGAATCTGTGTTGGGCTCACAGCCCAACCGATCCACCTTGTTTTCTTAAGTCACTTTGATCTCAAATTTTTGTATTTACTGTACCTATTCTTTGGGGTGGATGAAATTTGCCCTATGCTGGTGTCCAACATGTGTTCGATTAAATGTTTGAAAGAGACTTCGTAATATTCAATTTGATTTCTACTTCACATAAACTTGTTGTCTCCCAAAATTTCCTTAATGGTGTATCTATATTTAATGAATATCTATGAGCTTTAATCCCCCTTATTTGTCATTTGTCCTTTCTTAGTTTCTCAACTTATAATTTAATTTTGTTTTATGCAAATTTCACATTTATTTATTCAAAGTTTCTCTCTTCAATGTCGACTAATGTAGATAGGTTCATGGATTCCTTGCACTTGGATTTCCCTCACATATTTTTAGCCTTTTAAATATTGCCCCTCTTATGAAATTTTTTGGGAGATTCACTATTATACCCAATATAGGAGCCCAAATTATTAAAAAAAAACTATATGAAATGGACTTTAGAAACACACCTAAAACCCATTTACAACATAACAAAAAGGCTTTTAACTTTTTTTAAATTAATAAACTACCATTGATTTCTTAAAACAAACCCAACTCCAAAACCTCATAAAAAAATCCAAAATATTCAATAGGGCATCAAAGTAATTTAATAAAAAAAAATAAATTCAATAAGGCCAGTTGTCATTTTTTGGGGTTTTTTTTTGGGTTTGTTTATAAAAATTAAATGGCGTAGAGTTTATTTATAGTTTTAGTGCTAAGAATGGGTATATGACTAAATATCTCAAATTTTTTTGGGTCTGCAGCAAGTGGATACTCATATGCACATGCAATAATAGATTCAAAACTAGTAACATCTGGTTATAACAAACATCCAACAACAATATTGTAAACTTTATCCAGAGCATATCCATACTATTACCCCCTTTATTTCACTGGCAAAGTTCCTAAAAAAGTATATACAGTATGGTGATCACAACAGAGAAACTTGTGACTGCAAGTGTCAAACGTACTCATACACTGTGGGGTTGGCTTCCTCAATTTAGGATTGTAGAAAATTTAACTTTCCCTCTTCAAACTAATTTTTTCTTACTTACAACCTATGCTTTTATTTTTTCTTGACAAAAGTTCGATGACTGGAATCCAACTATGTAAATTACCTAATCAAGCTTAACCTGTTAAATATTAAATTTTGAACTAATTATTTGCAAATATCGCACATTAATAGTGTTAGTGTTCCAATTTTGCATAGATTTAGAGATTTTTGTTGGGTCAAATTTTTTATTTTTTATCAAATTTTGGTCTCCTTTTTCCCTTAAAAAAAGGGTAAAGCAACTCTTACCGCATTTTTATACATTATTGTTGACGCAGAAAAATGGTTCGGCACTTTCCCGCGCAACTTAGTGATGTTGGGCCTTCGGTATGCTCTGGGCCTCGGTAGGGCGTTCGATCTGCAAGATAACAAACGCTCGGTAAGACCTAGGGCACTGGTGTGGTACCGGCCGAAGGCTCTCCGATGCTTAAGTAAGTACGGATTTAGTAAGATTGAATTACAGATCAATAGGCAGTATGCCGTAAGTTCTGATTGATTACCTCCAATTTGGGATAGTTGTCCTCTTTTATAGGCCTTGGGAGGTGTGCAAGTTGTTTAGAATTTCGATGTGGAACTGTGGACTCCAATTGTGGGACTGCCACGTGTCCCTAGGGGTGAAGTTGCCCTAATCGTGCGATCGGTAGGGACGGTACCGAAGCTAGGTGCCGAAGGCTTCTATAGCTCCAGTTTGGTCCACGTGTCCGATGCTTATTGGCTGTTCATTTTGGTATAAACAGGAGTCCCCCAAGTTCTCTTGCGAGAGTTCTCGGAAGGGGACTTGAAATTGTCTTCGGCAGGAAATGTTGTCTTACCGTTCGGTAATCCAGCTCGTGGAGGGGCTCAACTTTGGCCCTTCCATTCATGTTCATTTAGAGGCTGACGTCGGGGAAGTCAGAAGGTCGCGTCGAGTTGACGTGTGAAGAGACGTCTGGGCGCTTCGTCTTCCGTGCCTCGTGTGCCGTCAGTCCCCCATAGGATGAGCGACACGTGGCGAGAGTAATCATGAGGTGCGGCGTATTAATGCACCGTTTGGTTTTTCGAGGTGTACCGTTGCAAACTCTCGCTCTATAAATAGGAGTGACTCCGGAGAGGAATTCACTTTGCATTTGTGAGAAGTGAGAGCTCTATTGAGGCAATTTCCGACGAGAGCTTCCGGCATTCGAAGCGATTTTCGACGCGGGCTAACGGTAAACCAGGAGATTTACGGTGTTGCGAACGGCCAGAAAAGCGATTTCCGTCAAGGCGATCGGTAGCATAGTTCGTGGTCCTCTTCCAGAGCTTGATTTAAGGTATCGTTCGACAACCTCATTTTACTCTCTTCCTTAACTAGCGTTACGTCCTTCCTTGGCTTGAACTAGACTGACCATAGGGTTCCGTTCGGTAGTCTTGTCACCATAGGTAGCGATGTAGGGATTGGTAGGCTAGTATCCGGCATGAGCCTTAGTTTCCTTTTTCCTTGTTTTTGTAGATGTCTGATAGCGAGTCATTTTCCGAGCGTGAGCCCAATGCGTTTGATGGGGAGTCATCGGATGGTCTTTTTGACTCCGACAGCAAGGCGGTAGGCCCTGATGCCAGGGACGGAAGCGACACCGTTGTTGAGATACTCGGTGAAGGCCCCAACTCCATTCCTTCACATGGCATCGGGAAGGGGCTAATGACTGCACCGGTACCTTTGTCTATTGTCTATAGCGACGGTCGCCACGTTGGTCTAGCTATGCCTGGGGAGATGAGCGCTGGTCGCCAGTCAGAGACCTCCACTTCCAGCCGTGGAGAGTCAGCCGCCGAACCATTCTCTCGGCCGAGGGTATCTGTAGTATATCCAAGCAACAACAGCATATTTGACCTGGCCCTTGCCTTGCGGCATCGGGCCGATCAAGTCTAGTCCCCACTGGGCGAAAGGCCATGGGCTTACGATCGGTGAGAGAGGCTCGACAGGGATGTGAGGGACACTACCGAACTGTTGGCATTTGTCGCACTTCTTGACTAACACGTTTGCATCTTGGTGTAAGGTCGGCCAGAAATACCCTTGCCGAAAGACTTTGTGTGCCAGCGACCGGGACCCTGAATGGTCACCGCAGACCCCGCTGTGGACTTCCCGAAGGACGTAGTCCCCCTGCTCTTTGGTGAGGCATTTCAGATATGGCATGATGTAGCCTCGCTTGAACAGAACATCGTCGATGACTATGTATCTTGCTGATCGGTACCGTAGCTTCCGAGCTTGGGACTTATCTGTGGGCAGGGTTCCGTTCGTTATGAAAGCATAAATTGGAGACATCCATGTGTCTTTGTACCGTACGGTACATACTTCAGCAGTTGTCGTGCTTGGCTGGGATAATATCTCCACCGGCACCTTCCTTCCGATCCTATCGTTTATTGCCGAAGCTAAATGCAAGAGTGCATCGGCGTGACTGTTTTCTGACCTGGGGATCTGCCGAATCTCGTAGGCCTGGAATTTTTGTAGGAGTTGGTGGGCTGCCGATAGGTAAGCGGACATGGAGGCATCATTCGCTGCGAAGTCTGCCGTTATTTGATTCACTATGAGCTAGGAGTCACTGTGAATGCTGATTTCTTTTGCGCTCATGCTTTTGGCTAGCCGAAGGCCGGCCAAGAGAGCCTTATACTCTGCCTCGTTGTTGGAGGTTCTGAAGTTGAATTGGAGGGCATATTCAACTTTGCTTCCGTTTGGAGTAGTTAACATCAAGCCAGCTCCACAGCCTTGCTGATTTGCTGAGCCGTCAACATGCAGGATCCATAGAGGGACAGAAGGATCAAAGCGCTCGACATCCATTTTTCCTGGTTCCACAATAACAACGTTGGAAAGGATGTTTCCGATGGTGCAGAAGGTGTGAGCTCGGAGATGAAGTTGGCGACGGCCTGACCCTTCTCTGCAGGCTTTGGCTTGAACTGTATGTCAAATTCTCCCAGCTCGATCGCCCATTTGACTAATCGGCCAGACGTTTCTGGCTTTTGAAGTACCTGCCGAAGGGGCTGATTGGTCAGAACCGTGATCTCGTGCTCTTGGAAGTATGGGCGAAGCCTTTGAGCTGAGACAACAAGGGCTAGTGCTAGCTGTTCCAAGGGAGGGTACCGAGGCTCTGCGCTCTGAAGCGCCTTGCTCACATAAAATATTGGTAGCTCTGCCTTCTCTGGCTTCCGTATCAATACCGAGTTAACGGCAGTGCTGGATACCTAAAGGTAGAGGATGAGAACTTCTCCAAGAAGCGGTTTTGACAATAGTGGTGCCTTGCTCATGTAGTTCTTCAAGTCTTGAAATGCTTGGTCGCATTCGGGAGTCCATGCGATATGATATTTGCCCCCTTTCAAGTTCTTCAAGTCTTGAAATGCTCGGTGGCCTTGGAGATGAAGCGCGTTAAGGCAGCGACACGTCCGGTAAGGCTTTGAATGTCTTTCTGCGTCTTCGGCGTCTTCATGTCGATTATGGCTTTGATTTTCTCGGGATTGGCCTCGATTCCTCTTTGGCTGATCATGAATCCGAGAAATTTCCCCGAAGATACACCGAAGGCGCACTTCGTTGGGTTCAACCTCATTCGGTAGTCTTCTAGTATACCGAACATGAGGGCTAAGTTTTCCAGATGCCCCCTACCGTTCGGCTTTTCACCAACATGTCGTCGACATACACCTCCATAATACCGCCGATGTGTTTAGCAAAAATCCGATTGACGAGCTGTTGATACGTTGCCCCCGCATTCTTCAAGCCGAAAGGCATGACATTGTAACAGTACAACTCGCGGTCGGTGATGAATGATGTATGCTCGCTATCGGCAAGGTCCATGAAAATCTGGTTGTACCCTGAATAGGCTTCCATGAAGCTGAGCAGCTCGTGTCCAGCGGTTGCATCAACGAGCTGGTCGATCCTCGGCAATGGGAAGCTATCCTTCGGACATGCCTTATTTAGGTCGGTATAGTCTTGACACATTTGCCATCTACCCTTGGTCTTCCGAACCATGACTGAGTTGGCAAGCCAGACAGGGTACGTAGCCTCCCTGATAAAGCCGATGGCTTTAAGCTTGTCAACTTTAGTACGCATAGCCTCATACCATTCGACATCATACGAACGACGCTTTTGTCTGACTGGTTTATAGACGGGGGAGATGCTGAGCTTGTGGCTGATGACGTCAGGTGATATGCCGGGCATATCATTGTATGACCAGGCGAAGACCTCTGCTTGATGTCGCAAAAAGTCAATGAATTGCGTTCGTAGGTTGGGATCTAGGGTGGTGCCGATCTTCACACATCGATCGGGATATTCCTCATTCAGGATTATTGTTTCGAGTTCTTCGGCAGGCTGCGCTACCGGCATTGGCGTTTCCTCCCTTGGGTCGTCTATAGGCTCGCTACCGTTCGGTAGTCCCTACACAGGACGGCCTAATATGTAGTATTCAACAGAGTGAAGACTTCCTGAGCGCGGTCGTGATTCGGTAGTGGCGCTCGGTGGTCGTTATGACTGTATTTCCCACGCCCCTTCTTTGAGCTCCCTTGTCGATTATCACGGTCGTCCTTTCGCTTGTGACCTGCTAAAGAGTCGTCAGTCCACCCAGGATAGCTCTTTGGTGCTGATTCCTCCTGCCGAGTCGAAGGCCCGGACTTGGAGTTGAAATATTCAGCCTTAGCGTGGACTGCCGCCTGCTTCATTAGTTCGTCATATGTGCGCCAGTTGCTACTGTGCACGAGATACTGAAAGTGAGAGGACCGGAGGCCACTCTTGAAGGCGCCGTAGGCTGCCCTATCATCCGTTTCCGAACACCTCAAGTATTCATGACTGAAGCGCGCAACGTATTCCCATAATGGTTTGTCTTTTCTCTGCCGAACCGTGTACAAATCGACTGTAGAGTATAGACGGTCCGTCTGGATCATGAAGTGATTGAGAAAAATCTGCTTCAGTTCGTCAAATGAGTCTACCGTTCCTGGTTCAAGACGTAGAATCAGTTTAAAGCAGCTCCGGTAAGGGAGGATGGGAACAACAGGCATTGCCCCTCATCGCTGAGGCCCTTGCATCCGACTGCTGATTGGTAAGAGTGAAGGTGCGTCAAGGGGTCTTCCACGCCGGTGTAAAACGGTATGCGCAACGGCTGTACCTCCCTGTCCTGTCTGGACTTCTTGATGTGCTCGGTAAAGGGTCCCGGTCGAAGTTTCCCCCAGTCAAGTTCCTGGGACCGGTTTCGGTCGTCTTCCATCTTCTGAATTCTCTAGAAGAGCAGACGGATAGTGGGGTCTCGGCTTGGGACCTCCTCGAAACTGTAGTCTTCAGAAGTTCTTCTCGGACTTGGTGGTCTTGCCTTCGAATACTCCGTGGGAGTTTCCGAACGGTAGTTTGATTCGGTGCCCTTGGAGGGGGCATACTCATCGTCAGATTCTACCTCCGACTCCAACCCTTGGACTTTTCTAAGGGGTGATTTGTTTCCAAGGACCCTCATCCGTGAGTCCCGCAGGCGAGCATTGATCCTGATTGGAGACCTCTGCTGTTCGGCCTCCTTGTCGTTGATCCGATGGCGACAGTCGGTGTAGACCTTCTTCGGTACGTGAGGCAGGTCCCGTGGAGCTGGGACTACCAGCTGTTTGGAAGGCGCAGGCGTTGCCTTTGCCCCCTTCTTCCCTTTCTTCTGCCGACCGGGGGTCTGCAGACTCTGGGAAGGTTCCGTAGATTGAATATTTTGCATTTCCTGCTGATTAAGCAACTGCTGGGTTTCTTCTATTTTGGACGAGAAGAGGTTGTTATGTTCTTGGAGCTTGGCCATTTCCTTCCGGAGAGAAGTCATTTGAGCCAGAAGAGAAGTCATTTGAGCCAGAAACTCCACTTCGACCGTAGTCTGAATCACCGGAGGATTACCGAAGGGAGTGCTAGGGTGCAGCGCGGGGCTTGCTCCGCTTGGCATGCCGTACGGTAGTCCATCCTCCAGTAAGAACGTTGGTACTAAAGTGGTTCCCATGTGTTTTTTAGGAATTGTAGGTCGATTCTTATCGATTCCCACAGACGGTGCCAAATTGTTGATGTAGAAAAATAGTTCGGCACTTTCCCGCGCAACTTAGTGATGTTGGGCCTTCGGTATGCTCTGGGCCTCGGTAGGGCGTTCGATATGCAAGATAACAAACGCTCGGTAAGATCTAGGGCACCGGTGTGGTACCGGCCGATTTAGTAAGATTGAACTACAGATTAAGTAAGCACAGATTTAGTAAGATTGAACTACAGATCAATAGGCAGTATGCCGTAAGTTCTGATTGATTACCTCCAATTTGGGATAGTTGTCCTCTTTTATAGGCCTTGAGAGGTGTGTAAGTTGTTTAGAATTTCGATGTGGGACTGTGTACTCCAATTGTGGGACTGCCATGTGTCCCTGGGGGTGAAGTTGCCATAATTGTACGATCGGTAGGGACGGTACCGAAGCTAGGTGCCGAAGGCTTCCATAACTCCAGTTTTGTCCACGTGTCCGATGCTTATTGGCTGTTCATTTTGGTGTAAACAATTCTAATACCACCTTGTGTGGCAGTTTAGGTAGACAATCACATTAATTAAAATTAGTAGATAAGATGGACAATCACATCAATTTAAATTATTTGTTTTATATTATTTATTAATATATATATAAAAAAAAGATCTCCTTCCTTCCACCACCATCTCCTCTCACCTTCTCTACTGGCACTCCACCTACACTATCCATGGACGCTCCACTATCCCTCCTTTGGTTATTGGCGAGTGTGTTTTTTTTTCGTATCAATTTCTTTTTTTCTTGTCAAATCCATATATTTTTTTTGTGAAGCTTCATACTTGCAGATTCAAAATTTCGAGAGAAAAACAAAATTTAGAAACAGCATGTAATTAAAGAAAACAATAAACAATGCCTATAAGTCTGCAGTGGTGGAGAACAAACCGATCCAAGGCCCAAGGCAACTGGGAAGCCACAATGTAACACCTGGCAACATTTTTTGGCTTTTTTTGTGTGCTGCCTTCGATTCTTGCCTAAGCAACGACAATGATTCACGAGACCAAGCAAACATAGCCAACCAGCCAACTGCTCATCATCTCAACACCATCTCTCTCTCTCTCTCTCTCTCTCTCTCTCTCTCTCTCTCTCTCTCTCTCAAGAATACAGAAAAGAAATGGAAGCAAATACAAAATTGGTCACGGGCATTGAGTTGAGAGAGAGCAAACTTACACTGGCAATGGTTTCCCTATGAGGACAGACAGCAGATAAGTGAATGTATGGTTCCCAAGCTCTATAAAACATTATATTTTTTGTGCTTTAGTGGTACATTTGTTGGGCATTAGAAACCCAACAGTAACAGGGTCATGTGAATGTACATGTGTCTTGTGGGAGGTGGTATGCGATCGCTTTCACATTACCATTATTTCACATGCATGAGAATCGAAAGAAGGAATATATCAATCCCTATATATCCTATCCCAATTCAGGTCATGTCAATTTTCATCTTCCTTTACTTGAATTGTATTGTATTAGACACTGAATTTTTTTTTTGCTTTATACAAATGATATTAGAGAAGAGGGATCCGAACACAAGATCTCAGGTGTAAGGATAACTGCTCTTAACCACTTAAGCTACAAAACCTTTGTTATTAGAAACCAAATTTTATTCACTGAATAACGAGAAAGTGTTTGATTATTGATTCAAATTAGGTTCATTTTAAACTTTGTTTTTTAATACTGGCATGCTAGCAAAATTGCAACATCCATAATGCTATAATTGTTGCTTGCAAATATGGTTCTCAACTTCTCATCACATGTGACTAGGTCATAAATTCAAAGACAATTTATTTTGTCTTTTCTCATCCATAGTTGCTGCTACCTCTGCCACATTATTTTCTAACTACATGGTGAAAACAACAAAATTATGTAGTTTGGGCCAAACTACAAGGACAAAAATGTGATTTGGTCTCTAGACTAACTTCCATGGCATGGCAGTATGTCACACCATATACCTTTCAATGTTTACATCCATAGAATTCTCTAGCTACATCTATCAGTTAGAGAGATGCAAATTTAACAATCCTGTATATAATAGTCCTATGTAGTCCTAACACCACACTTCAGGAAAACATATATCTCTCTCTCTCTCTCTCTCTCAAGTTGTTTCTTGAGTCATAGTAGCCAGCACTTCTCTTTTCTGATATATACAGTAGGCAATGATGGCAATGGCAAGGACTCTAAGGATTGTGCTCTCCCTCGTTATGCTTCATTTCTTAATAGTAGAGAACCATGTAAGCAATCAATTAATCTTTGATCTCTCTCTCTCTCCTCTCTCTCTCTCTCTCTCTCTCTCTCTCTCTCTGTGCCACCCTCCCTTATATATATGTTCATTTTCATCTGTATATATATTATGCATGCCTGCATTCCTAATCACCCTATGAAAATTCAAGTGATCTCATTGAACTGTTGAACTATTTGCATGTTGTACTTTGAAGCAGAGATATATAATTGCAGTAGGATTATTTAAAAGAAAATTAAAACAAGAAGATTGTGTTATTCAATGGTATTATTGAGTGCATGCAAGTCTATCCCATCAGAACTTAAACATTTTGAAATTTCTCCCCACCTCTATCTGATTTATTCATCTGCAAATTTCGCAAAAATTTATGTTGCAGGCTACTACCACTACTGAGGCTCCAGCACCACAGCCCCCAAGGCAGTAACAACCACACGATGGTAAATTATATATCTACTGGCATTTTCTGCTTCAATTTTTGATATGTTTTTGTCTGATATTTAATTTAATTACCTCTTTTTTCTTGAAAAATTCAGAATGGAATTACTGAAGGCAGCCTTCAACCTCAAGGTAAAGATCCTAATCAGCCATATAATTTTTTTTAATACATCAATTGTTTTATTTAACCCAAAAAAAAAGAAAAAAAAGAAAAGTTGATAGAAGTTTAACATGATATTGTACAGAGTGTGGTCCGCGTTGCTCTACAAGATGCTCAAACACACAATACAGAAGCCATGTTTGTTTTTCTGTCAAAAGTGCTGCGCTAAGTGCTTGTGCGTGCCTCCAGGCACCTACGGGAACAAGCAATTCTGTCCTTGCTATAACAACTGGAAGACCAAGAGAGGAGGCCCCAAATGCCCTTGAGCTAGCTCACTCCTTGTACATATAATTATGTTTTATTCCTAATAATTCAACTTAATTGTATTGCTTTATATGTTTTTGAATTTGTTGTTTGTAAATATATTAATAAAAATTCCATTTCGTTTGGCTAAAACACCTACTCTAGGTGGATTCTATCTCTCACCACAGGGTGGATTCTTAAGACAATTACCAGATACTTTAATTACCTGTCTCTATTAGACCATCTCCAACTCTTGGGGTGGAAACTCAAATTTTGAGTTTAGCCTCCAAAAACCATCTCCAACCCATGTATTTTGGGGGGAAATTTGAGAAATCTCAAATCTTGGGTGGAATTCCAGTCCCTTTTTTGCCTGGACTGATAATTTTATGGGCCCAAAATCTGCTTTTTTATTATTTTTTTTTCTGACTGAAGCCCATGTGCTGCACAATGTTTGCTGGGCCCAGTTTTGGTTACACTGTTTGGGCAGCAACTTTGTGCCAAAAATCTGATATTGCTGGTTTGTTTTTTTTAAATATTCCAACAACTATATTTGTAATCAATAATCATGATTAATTTTAAGCAATCTCAACGGCAAAATTTAATGATTGTTGTTTATTTAAAAATGCTTAGATAATTTAAACACACTTACATAATTCAATGAAGAGTTCGAATTATTCCGGGCATACGTATGATATTGTACTTATTTTTATTTTTTAAGTGAAATTCAATTATGTTTTGGAATTTTATTTTTTTAAGATTAAAATGTTTAGAAAATTAAATCACGAGTGTTGAAACAAAAATAATGTCAAGAAAAATTAACAAGAAACAAAATTTAGGGGCTAATCATTCTTAAACAATTTAATAAAGTAGCGGACTCAAATTATGAGTCTACAAGGTTGGAGGAAAAAAAATTTTGAGTCCTGAAAATACATGAATAGTTGTATTTTGGAGGGTGAAAATTTGAGTTTAGCCCCAACATAGTTGGAGATGGTCTTACAAATTTGCTAATAGACTACACTAGGGGTGGGCATCTCATCCGAATTATCCGAGTACCGACCGTACCGTACCGACAGTTTGGTTTGGTTTGGTTAAATAATTATTTTTTAATTTTAATTATTCCGATCCGATCTGTACCGAGATATTTGGTTTGGTTAACGGAACAATATTTCTAACCCGATGGAAACTCGTACCGATCCGATAATTATACTTATTCTATTATTTAAATACAAAACAAGAAACCAAAGATAAATACAATCAACACTTCGTATCACTCCTTTATCACTGCTGTATCATTTCTTTATCACCATTGTATCATTGCTTTATCACCATTCTATTACTTCTTTATCACTTGGGTACTGTAGCACTTTTTGGTCATAGAGGAATTTATGAATTTCCTATATTTTCCAGTTTCGACCTTTGTCCCGTTTTTTACCTGTAACTTTCCAACCGTTTAACCAAATTTTATGTTCTTTATATGGTTGGATTCAACATGAAAAACTAAAGAACTCAATGCAAAACAAATGTCAAAATTATTTACATAAATGTAGAGAATTCATTAAAAATAACACTCAAATGTTTAAACAACAAACACAAGTGGCTCCCATTACATCTTGAGTATATATTGAATGATATAGTGACTAAGTTATTTGATTTTCATACTTGGATGATTTAGACTATTGGATTTTTATATTTTACAAGGATAATTTGGTGTATTTGTTCAAGAACTTATGTGAAAGTATTATAAATTGTATTTTTATTAGTATGTTTTTATTACGGTACTACCGGCATACCGAACCAATCCGAACCGAATATTAGGTTAAACGATATGAAGTCTGCTGAAGTCTTTGGTTTGGTTAACGGAAGAGAAAATGGTATACCGAATTCTTTGGTTTGGTTATCGGAAGAGCCTTCTACCATTCCAAACCGATTCGTGCTCAGGCCTAGACTACACTACATAGCCATTGGAAAGACAAAAGGTATCGGTTTTTCCATGATCCCTATTAGCGGTTTTTTGGTAGTGTGTATTCCTTGCATGCTATACTTGATCAAGAAAAGTCTCAATAAGACTTATCCATTGTGCCCCAAATTTTTTAGTTCCCCTCAATTTCTCAAGATAATGAAGTAAATAATATAGTAAGATCTCTTGAATTCAAAATATAAAGGTTAGTTTTGGTCCCTACAGTTTGTCGATTTTACTACTTTGGTCCTCGTAGGTCCAGTTTTTTTAAATTTTATCGTTGTATTTTCAATTCAGAGCAATTTAAGGACACATTTAAATTTCTGCCTCTCGATCTCTCTTGATCTCCTCAACTCTCTCTCTCTCTCTCTCTCTCTCTCTCTCTCTCTCTCTCTCTCTCTCTCTCTCTCTCTCTCTCTCTCTCCAAATTGTTATGATCGAAACTGTCGGTTCAACCAACAATCGGCAAAGTGGGATTCCGTTTGTAGCATTTTGACCACCGTCGGTTTGGTAACCGAACTGAACCAAAAAAACTCCCATTTCGGTCAACCCTCCAACACCTTTCTACATAGAAAAAAAGACTTCAATTAAATTTCGCAACTCCATAAGCTACGGTTCATATTTATGTGAAATGTAAAATGTCAAATTTAGATTTGATTAATTAGATGGTAATTTGACACTATCCATTTGCCCCCTCAAACACTCCTTTTACTGCATTCTGACTTTGGCATCGAAGATGGTTGGTTGGTACCACACCATTACCTCTTTGGTGACTCAACTCGTTCTATCTCATGTGCAGATAATTTTGACGGAAAAGAGAAGACCACTCTTTCAATTCGGAACCAATAGAAGTTTGACTTTGACCCAATCAAGTCCTTAGTTGATCATCTGAAATAAGTGTCAATAGAAAGTAACCAATTGTAGGGGTCCAACATATGAAAAAGTATTAAAAAAAACATTTGACATTTGATCCTTTTCTACATTGTCTCTGTTGCCTCCAAATTCATATAGAATTTGACTACTAAATTGAAGTAATTTTCTCCTTCAGTTCTCGTCATTTCATGTTTAGATGACAATTATTTGACATATATAACCTTAGTAGAAACTGAAACCCTTCAGTATTCTTTTTAAAGAACAAAAGGAGTGTTGCAAATTATAATCCTTAATTTAATAATTCAAAGTTCATTAAAAAAAAATTGAAAATTTGAAGTTACACCTTAAGAGTATTTTATTTTATTCTATTATTATTTCAATAGAAGATAGAGAACCTATGAAACAGAAGGATTATATATCAATAACAATTTTTGAACATACAAACGCATAAACATGAGCACGAAATGCAATTCAATATCATCTATCTTCAGTAGTATGTGAAGGCTCTTCGGTTGTATGAGCCACCTTCTTTGCTTTGGCTTATGGAAGTAATAGCTTTGAGTACCTTGTAGTGATGGAGGCTGTTGTTAATTTGACCAACTCCATGGCTTGTGGGCTTTAAGGGCTGTTGAAGATTTTCCACTACATGGCGATCTCTGTTAGAAGTTTGAAGAGGAAGAAGAAGTTGATCTTTGGGACTGGGACTGGTGCTGTCGAAGGCCATAGGCTTTGTGCGAGGGTAAAAGAAATCAGTAGGAAAGAAGTTGTAGTGCAGGCCAGCCATGGTTTGGTTGTGAGAAATGGCCACAAATGCGACTTTTTAAAGAATTTAATGTTTTGGTTATATGATGAAGTGCACAATTGTATCTTTTATTTATAGGGAGGGAGGATTTGTTATTTGGCTTGGATTGTTAATTTGTTATTTTCTGGGATTCCAATTAATGTCATTATGTAAATGCATTATTTTATTTTATAAAAGTCGATAGAATTTTATTATATTATAGAATAAAGAGTACAAAGGACACATACTGTAAGGGAGACATTCCAATAACAATATAACAACCCTGGGTAAAACTTCCCTAGTGACCTGAACCAGCTGAAAAGCTAAAACAATCCGTAGAGAATCAAACTCGAAAATAACTTTTCTAAACATCTTTCAACAGCCATAATTTCCCCGAATATAGTCCAATGACTTCAAAGACAAAAACTAGCCGCTAACCGGCATGACTCTCTTAGCTGCAACATCGCAAAGAGTAGCCTCGCAAGATGAGGTACAACCAAAGCCAGTCCAGATCTGCGATAATAGATCAACCGAAAAAAGAGTAAATCGACATAGGTCCACCCTAAGCTAAAAAACACCGAAGATTCGATGGGATCCGGGGGAAAACCCTCGAATCTGAAGCATTCTTTATTTTTTTTAATTAAGAGTTTAAATCTTCTTGACTCTTAATAGTTTTGTGAGATTGCTTATTCTATATCTGTTCAAAATTTAAAACACTTATGTAATGCATTTTAAATTGGATAAGTGTGTAAACAATACTATTCATTTACATTAAGGCCCGTTTGGTTCACAAAAAGGATTTGATGGGATCTCATGTTATTTCCTAAGAGATGAGAAATGGAAAATTCATTTCCCATGTTGGTAATGTTGGGAAAGTAACCCGGAAATACCACTTTATTTCCTTTCCAATGTTTGGTTGGTGCAGGAATGTGAAACAAAGTTTGTTTAATTTTTCAATTATATTCGTACGAAATTAAATAATAAAAGAATGCATTTGATATTATATTGTAATTCTAAATTATTAATGGGGATAAAATAGTCAAGAAAAGTGTGCATTTAATGTTGGCTTGTTTTTCCCAACTTTCCATGGGAAGGGAAAATGAAACCTAAGGGAGGAAGAGGGTTACATTCCCCCCATCCCCTATTTTTCCATGTGCCACAACCATTTCTCATGCCTGAACTTACCAAATATGGGAAAACAATCGATTTCCCAAACGGGCTTCAAGAATGCGTTTGGTTCAAGTTTTAGGAGCTTGAGAATTTCAAATTGCATTCCCCATGTTTGGTAAGTGCACTCTTGTGAATAAAATTATGAACTCATGGGTATGGGCTTCCCATGTAAGGGGGAATTTCGAACCCTTGGTTCATCCTTGGAAACTTCCCCCCCCCCACTTGGGAAAACATTTAATACAATTTTTTTGAACTAACTTACCCATGTTATTTATTTTAAATATTACTATTCATATTAATAACTTAAAGCCAAAAATAGGCCCTTGTAACTCTTATATTCTAGACATAAAGTCACCTATTTTTCAGCTTATATGAAAAACCCATAATTGAATATAGGTTAATAGTTGTCCTAGTATTATAAAATATTTACAAGCTATGCCATGTACCTTACTTGTCCAATCCCTTATTTTTAGCATTTATATTTAATTGCTTTTAATTTGGGAACCTATTCTTAGAGATGGGCCTTTATGTTTTGAACGTGTTCTTTGTGCGTTTAAATACTTAATGTCTAAGATTTGAGCATAAAAAAAAGTCTCAACCAAAATAAATTAATGAACCCATCAATATACATAAATAATAATTTAATAGCTAAACAAGATAATACCTTCTCTTAAAAAAAACATGATAATATTCCTAAAAGAAATTAATTTGTTTTCCCTAAAATCAGGTAGTTTTTTGTTAGAAAATTATGGTGATACACAAAAAAAAAAAAAAAAAAAAAAAAAAAAAAAAAAAAAAAAAAAAAAATCTACATACAATGATAGGTAAATTGATATGTACATATTTATGTTAGAAAAAAATAGGTACATTAAATATATAAAAAGATAGGTGCATAATTCATAAACTGTAAAACGATAGGTACATTACTTACATATATATTAGATAGGTAAAAAGATATTGGTAAACTATTTACCTATATGCACCTATATTTTTCAGGTCCCCAATTTACCTAGAGTAAAGTATGTAAATTATTTTACCTATAATTCTTTCTGTTTTTCACTCAGATTTACCTTATTTTTGTATATATTGAAAATCAGATAATCTATAGGTTTGGCATCCCAGAGACTCACTACCGACAGAGGTACTTTGTTCATGTCCAGGGAAGTTATGAGGCTGGAAGAGCAGCATGAGATTAGATTTGTGCAATCAAGCCCATACTTTTCTCAGGCCAATGGACAAGCAGAAGCCACCAACAAGGTACTCATCAGCATCATCAAGAAAATGACAGATAGCAATCCAAGGAACTGGCATGAAAAGTTGTCCAAAGCACTTTGGGCATATAGAACATCGAGAAGAAATGCTATTGGAATCACTCCTTTTGCCTTGACTTATGGGCAAGATGTGTGTTACTAGTGGAAATCAATGTAAGTTCCCTAAGGATAGCCCAACAACGTGATTTACACTCTGATGAGTATGTGGAAACTCATCACAATCCTATCAAGGATAGGGATGGGGAAACTCATCACAATCCTATCAATGGTAGATGGCTCAAGAAATACCCAACCTTGTGGGATACCAAGGGAATCGATCTTACGCCAAAGGAATAAAAGGCCAAGCTTGGCCTAAATACTGTAGCATCAGACATATTTATGTCTGATACTACAGTCATTTACATCGGACAGATTTATGTCCGATACTATAGTCATTTACATCAGACATATTTATGTCAAACACTAGTTTAACCAATATCAGACAGATTTGTGTCCGCTACTTCAGCTCTCATTTTATTATGACCTTTGCTTTATAAAAATGACCAAAAGTTTGGACAGCAAACGTAGTGGTTTCTGGAACAAGAAATGTTGGTAAAACACTTAACCACCTGACCAAACATCCATGGTTGAATGGTTAAAAGAGCCAAAATTATTACAAAGCATATGAATTTCAAACCAGACTTAAGAGCCAAACATAAAAACTTCATTTAAATTGATAAAACTGCCAAATCGTTTCTAAGGAAAAGTTGTTCAAAAAAATTATACCTAGATATATTAGTGCCCAACTGTATCTCTTAGGATAGACACGCAGCATTCATGTTGGCCAACATCCATCCTAAGCAAGTGTGATGGGCGATGAGCAGTTCTGCATCCTTGGCCTTGCCCAAATTTTCATTCATCTTCATCTCTCCTAGCCCTGGCATTCTCTAAGCTCCAGCCTGGTGATGTCCATTTGAGCTTTCTCGAAATCTTCAGCATACTTCTTGCTAGCTGCTACTGCTTCTGCCCTGGATTGAATACTCTGATCATATCGCAGAAGAGCTGACTCAGCATTTGGAGCCAAATCAACGCTGGTATGGTATTGGTTTAGAGTCTCTTTGAGCTCTTTTCCTTGATTAGCAACCAGGGTGAGATATTCTTGCCAATTTGTATATGCTTTCATCAGCTCAACTATGGCCTCATAAATGGCCTACATATCCACATAGCTTTGTGCAATGTCAAAGGCCTAGAAGCCCAAGTGGCCAGGACTTCCTTTGCTGCTTCCACCTCAGTTGAGACACTGCTTGATTCTGGGAGGTCTTCCAGTTCCAGAAGCCCTTGCAAGCTTCTTTTGGCTACAGAACCAAGACTCTCAACACCCTTCTCATTCTTCATTTCTTCTTCTTCGTCATTCGGCATATTGAAGATGACATCTCCAGCCTAATGAAAATTGAGAGGAACAACATCGGAGACTAGAGTTGCCTGTACAAAGGATGCAGATAAATTAGTATTCGCATCATTGCCAAGAAATCAGTGGCATGGAAAGAGGAAATGAGAAAACTTACTTTGCCTGGAGTTTTGAAAGTTTTTTCACCAGCAACCACAAATTGCTTAAGTGCAATCTCAGTATCCATCGGACTACTGGCACTGCCCTCCATGTCAGCCATCTTCTTCTCAGCGGTTGGAGCACTAGCTAATCTCACCATTTTTATGATAGGATCATAGGCAGAAGAAGAAGAATAACCCACAGAAGGGTTAACTCCCAATGATGATCCCATCATCTCCATTTCCAAGTCAGAATAGTGTGGTTGCAACAAGATATAAATTAGTTCATGCCAGTTTAACTCTCCCAAAAGTCAGAAAGGGTAAAAGAAAAAGAAAAACTCAGAAATTATACTAATTAGATGGCTAGAAGAAGTGGGAGTGACATGAATCAACAACTTAGCACTCTTTCCAACCCCAACACTCCTAGTAATTACCTCATGACGAATGCGCACTAGGGTTTGCAGAAGAGAGGCAAGATCTCGAAACTTCCCTTTTGGCTGATCAACAACATTCTTCCCCTTATCCTCACTGGGGGCAATCTCAGCATTTTTCTATACAAACACAAAGGATAAAAATAGTTAAGCAGAGTCAGAAAGACCAAATCATGGTTTGCTGAGACCAAGTGCTGATGTTAGCATGATTAGAAACTATACCTGTGGTAATGGGACAATCTGTGTCTCATAACGGCAACTGTTGGAGGAGGAGTTCAAGGTGTTGGAACCTGTTGAATAAAATTCATGTCAGTCCTAACGAAACCAAACATTGGTTCATAGGTTGCCTAGAAAATTGAGGTGTTACCTTTGCAGCCATCAGACTCTTTGTGGTAGGCTTGGTTGGCTCAGTAGTTCTCTCACCTGAGATAGTTTGCTTTGCCTGAAAGAAATAGTGAAAAGGAGAAAGTGAGAAGGAGCCAAAGTGTGGTTCCTCAAACAAATGAAAAACTTGCACTCAAAACTGAAGAGGGTGTAGATTCTGTTGAAGTATGTTTGGTTTTGGAAATGTAGGTTCAGATAGGTTTAGGTTGCAGAAAATCAAAAGACTCAGAATCTCTCTTCAAAAGTCCATAGGAACAAAAAACTCAGAGGCCAAGCTAAGGACTAAAACTTACAACAGATAAAAGTGGGAATTACTTACTGTTTGGAGAACCTCGGGCAGACCTGATCCTGGCTTTTCTGCCAACTCATGGATTTTGGGGTATGATAGGAGAGAAGCCTTTTTTGCAGCTGGTGAAGTTTGTGCTGCCTCAAGCCTCTTGCATCTCTCACAAAGACAACAACTTGGACTTGATGAGAGTCTCAAATTACATCTTTTTACTATTATTTTGGAGACTTTATGATATAATTTTGACTTAATGAATATAATTTCACTTGTTGTTACATTTTATTCTCACCAACTGGATTTATGAATTTTCTATATTAATTTGGTGAACTTATTAGGTGAATTTATCTTCTGTAGGAAGTTGGAAAGCCAAAAGATGAAGACATACATTTGTCCAAGTTCAAGCTAGGTGTGAAGAGAATTGCTGGCAGATTTAATTGAAGAATTGATTGTGGGATTATTGTGATTATAAAGAGAAGTAAAGAGGGAGAAGAGAAGACAAAACCGTTGAAGCTAAAGAGCCTATTTTATGTCATTCATAGCCATTTAACGCCCACTTACCTCACCGTTATTTCTTTTCCACTAACTCTTCACCATCAACACATGTTTAATCCAATTAATCCCTCAATTAAACCCTTCATCACCCACCATGAATGTATTAACTTCCCACTCACCTCATTGACTACTATAAATCACCCATCAACTTATTTGGCAAGGGCACCCCTACGACAGATTTCTTTATTCATTTAGTTTATGTTTTCCTTTGTAATGAGTTGCTAGAACTCTAGCTAAGGCTAAAGGGAATGTTCTTTGAGTAAGTTTGTGAATTGTTTTTTAATCCAATATACGGTATGAATTGCTAAATTCTTTTATTTTTGGTTGTTCAATATTTTCATATTCTTTTATTTTGATTGATGTTAAGTGCTATTATCTTTTCATGAGTTCACACTACTACAAAAAAGGAAAAACACGACGGGAATTCACCGTCGTGTATTCTGTTTTCAAATGGTCGTGGAATCCACCGATATCTTTTCCATAACAAAACCATGACGGTGAATAACCGTCGTTGTTAAAACAAAAAACGTCATCAAAAATAAAAACCGACATCTTTGTACTGCAAAAAGACATAAAAAAAAGTCGAGGATGAGAATAGACGACCAACTCCAACAAAAAACTGTCGTTAAAAAGGGAACATATGACATATATTAACAGAACATGGCCGCAAGATAATCAAGAACTAAAACTTAACGACAAATAGAAATATGACGTCTTTACAATCATAATAGACGACGTTATTGACACCTACTACATCACATCATTTCCAACAACCGTCGTAAAATAAATTTTCCACTTCGATTTTTCTATGAATTATGACGTGGAAATAGATGTCAGGGTCATTACTTACGACGCATGTATTTACAGAGACGACGTTGAAATGAATAAACAACGTCGGTTCCAAATAAATGAGAGCCGTATTATAGAATTTATACGTCATATTTTGAAATATAATTGTTGTGTAATGACTCTGAAACGGCATCGTTTCTAATTCCACCGCCGTGTAAAATAATTTTAACGACAGGATCTGAAAATAAACGACGTGGAAAAAATGATGGGGTCATTAATTACGACACATTAATTTATAAAGACGACGTTGTCGTCTATATACAACGTCGTTACCATGAAAAAGACCGCCGTGTTTAATAGTTTCTACGTCTTCATTAAAAAAATTAACGTCGTCTAATTCATATATCTTAACGTCGACAAATTTAATGGACTTCAAATACCGTCGTGAATTCATCCTTTTCCACTTCGTTTATGAAAGAACATGCGACGTGGTAAATTCATGACGACGTCGTCTTTTGTAACGTTCAGGTTAAAGATCTTGTCTTTAAGACGTCGGTGTTATGGGATTGGAGTTGTGTTATTTTGAATTACATGGCGGTTCTTTATGCTTGTCCGACGTGTTATCCTGGATAACTGTTTCACAATAGCGTCGTGGTTCTTCATTGTTACGTTGCTTTAAGATGTCGGTAAATATATTGCGGTCGTTGAATGCTCCAAAACGTCGTTATTTATTAGAACAGACGTTTGTTTTTCACATTTTTATCAAAACCGTCGTGTTTGTAATCTGGAACCAGTAATTTTTGTACTGATTGTTTTGTGGCCAAAACCTGTATAATGAAAGTGAAGAAATCACATTACAATATATTACAAAATTAATGTCATACACTGCCAATTACATAAAGCATCATTCAACCCATATATCTTCACACCCATCTCGAATATTTTGACTCCCTAACTCAACCACCACTTCACCTAGTAAATGGCTCACACTCAATTCTCACATCACCTAAGACATCATCACCAATAACATCATTATATTCTCTATTAGGCATTGATAACACTACCGACCAACCACGATGCATTGGGTCGTCAACAAAAAATACTTGTTTGACTTGAGAAGCCAAAACAAATTGGTCATTCCTATGTCCAATTTTACTCAAATCTACAAGGGTAAATCCAAGTTCGTCCACTACAAGACCAGAAGTATTATCTATCCAATCACACCTAAAGACTGGGATTGTAAACTTTTGGTAGTCAAGGTCCCAAATTTCTTGAATGACACCATAGAAACCCATATTTGAGAGAATTGAGTTTTTATCCTTGGCACTAGCAACTTGCATAGTATGTGCAAGTAAATAAACTCCACTATTTTGAGTTGTCCGCACATCATCTTGTGCCTTGATGTTGAATTTAATACCTTTAATAAGATAGCTCCTATATAATGGCACTGCCATGTTTGGACCAGCTGCTAGCCACCTTAAATTTTCTGATACGCCATGATTGTCTTCCTCATTAAGTTCACTTTGAACCTGCAAATTAATCATAACTTAATTCAATCTAACATAGAAAGAAGAAAATTAAAAGTCCAATATGTTATTCAATAACATATACCTTGAAGCGTAGCCATTGAATGAAAGTGCTATTGTGCTTATCCTGCAGCCACTTTGTTCTCTTTCTAAATTTTGGATAAGCGGTCTTGATGTGGATCATATGTTGCCTACATGACACAAAAAATTCAAGTATTACGGTCCCAAACATATAAGATAAACATAAGAAATAATTTAAAATGGAAACTTAAAGAATAAAACTCATACGTACTCGATATAAGGTAGGACTTCCTCCGTATTCTCCAAGACATATAGATGTGCTTGGTTCAACAGGTCCCGATCAACTTCGCTCACTGTGCAACCTGATAATGGCTTTGAAACTCCCATCTTTTGGCTTGAAGGCACTCCAACTATGCTAACATCAGATAAATGCTTGGTACAAAACTCTACAGCTTTTTCAGCTATATACCGCTCAGCAATGCAACCTTCGGGACGAGTACGATTCTAAACATACCCCTTTAGCACTTTCATATATCTTTCAAACGGATACATCCATCTAAAATATACTGGCCCACATAGACGAACTTCTCTGACAAGATGTACTACTAGATGAACCATGATATCAAAGAATGAAGGGGGAAAGTACTTCTCAAGCAAACACAAAGTAACTACTACATCTTCTTCCAACTTATCTAGCTTGGAAACATCAACAGTCTTTGCACATATAGCATTGAAGAAGAAGCACAAACGAGTTATTGCATACTTTGCAGGCTTCTCCAAAACAGAACGAATTGCCACAGGGAGCAATTGTTGCATTAAGGTATGACAATCATGTGATTTAAGGCCAAGAAGTCTTGAATCTTGTAAAGATACAAGATTTTTTATATGTGAAGAATAACCTTCAGGGACCTTCATACCATAGAAAGAATTGCAAACCTCTCTCTTCTCTGCTCTTGACAAATTCCAAGGCCCGGGAGGCAAACGAGTACGTCTTTCTCCATACTCGGGTTGCAAATCAGTTTTGACCCCCATGTTCAATAAATCTAATCGAGCAGCAATCCCATCTTTATTTTTTCCAGGGATCTCCAGCAATGTACCAATGATACTATCGCAAACATTCTTCTCAATGTGCATAACATCTAGGACATGCCTCACAGGAAGGTATTTCCAATACTCGAGATCAAAGAATATTGATTTCTTCTTCCAACAAACTCTGTCACCATCTTCAACCATATGCAACACTTCTTCTCCGGTTAATGGCTCGGGAGGCGTGCCATATTCGGGTTTCCCATTAAAAGCTGCACGTTGCCTCCTATATGGATGATTGATTGGTAACCATTTTCTATGCCCAATGTAACAAATTTTGTGGCCATTTTTCAACCTGTGACTAGGTGTATCATCGCCGCATATTGGACAAGCTTTATATCCTTTAACAACACAACCGGATAAGTTTCCATAGGCGGGGAAATCATTAATTGTCCACATTAATGCAGCTCTGAGTGTAAAGTATTCTCCATTATGTGCATCATACACTCCTCCAATCCCATCCCACAAAGATTTTAAATCATCAATCAAAGGCTCCAAGTAGACGTCTATATCATTTCCGGGCTGTTTAGGACCGGAAATCAATAAGGTCAACATCATGAACTTTCGTTTCATGCACAACCATGGAGGGAGATTATATGTAACTAAGATAACTGGCCAGCAACTATATCTGCTACTTAGAGAACTGTGGGGATTGAATCCATCAGATGAAAGAGCCAATCTCAAGTTTCTCGGCTCATTACCAAACTCGGGCCATTTATCATCAAGAAGTTTCCAAGACGGGGAATCCGCCGGATGAGACATATGACCGTCAATTGATTTTCTAGCAGCATGCCAAGTCAAACTCTTAGCGGTCTCATGTGATCGAAACATCCTTTTAAACCTTGGAATTGGAGGAAAATACCACACCACCTTCGCTGGCACACCCTCTTTCAAGATTGAATCTTTGCCTTCCTTCCACCTTGAGATACCACAAGTAGGACAATGAGTTGAATCCTCATACTCCTTCCTATACAAGATGCAATCATTGGGGCATGCGTGCATTTTCTCATAACTCAGCCCCAATGCACACAAAGTCTTTTTTGCCTCATACATAGAGGCCGGTATTGTATTTCCTTCTGGAAGCAAATCGCCTTGAAGTATCAATAATTCTGTAAAACAGACATCACTCATCCCATGTTTTGCCTTCAAATTATACAACTTCACTAATGCCGATAACTTCGTGTACTTTCTACAACCAGGGTACAATGGTTGATCTCCATCCCCAATCACATTGGCAAACTCATAAGGATCAGATCCAAAATCACCAAATCATTATCATCCATCTCTATTTCTTCAGACACAAAACTGTACCTACTATGGTCATCATCTTCTTCAACATTTCTACTAGCATTAGTAGTTGCTTCCCAAGGTTCTCCGTGAAATGTCCAATTCTTATAGCTTTGGTCAACTCCATTAAAGTATAAGTGATCCCTTATAATTCCAACCCCAAACAATTTCAAATTAACACATTTAACACATGGACAACGGATATGTGTGGTAGTTAGAAGATTTTCTACAGAAAAGTTCAAAAATGCTTCCACCCCTAACTCATATGCCTTCGATCTTCTATCCGAGTGCATCCATGACTTATCCATCTCCGACACTATACCCTATTATATATAATAAAGTGAAAAGACAAGCAATGACCATCACTATAGCAGATTATATAAAGTTCTAATAGCAAGTAATATACAACAGAGACGACGGTTTTTAAACAAAAACAGACGTATTTGACATATATAGACGACGGATTTTACGTCGTCTAATTATAACCACGACGGTAGTTAAATAACACCGTCGTGTATAAGTAATAAAAACGACGGTTTAAAGTAAAAACCGTCGTCGTATGCCTAAAACGCGTCGATATCCCAGTTTATTTTCAAGATCCCAAAACCCTATTAAGAACACAACATGATACCAAGCAGAAACCAACATCATGAAACCAACATATACTAAGCATGAAAACAATAAATCCATTCCCAATTCAACATAACAGAGAGTGATTAAAAGATCCGACAAAATGAAATCCATTCCCTATTCAACATAACAGAGAGTGATCAAGAAAACATTAAACAAAAATCCATGAACCCATACCTCCAACAACATTATTAACAGATCGCAAAACATATACCTAAAACCCTTTAACAAAACAACGTAATATATCATTCAATGAATTTACAAGGGGAAGAGAGGGTTTGTACTTACAGGTTGGCAGAGCTCACAGATTATGGCCAAATTGGATTTGACACAGCCTGGCCCAACTTTGAATTAGAGATGAAGTGAGAGAGCGAAATGTTATGTTGCGCGAAATCTGAAAATTTTAGGGTTCAGGGTTAGAAGTATAAAATAAGAGCCAAATCTGAAAATTTTAGGTCCCGCGAATATTTTTAGAAAGCGCGCTCTTTTAAAACATCGACCGAAAAAACAAGCGTCGTTAAAATTTAACATTAAACATGACGCTTATTACATTAAGGACGTCGTGGTAAAACTATGTACCACGCAAAATCAAAAAAGGCGTTAAAACTATGAAAAACCACGTCGGGGTTAAGTAATTAACGACGTTGTAAATAATAATAAACGACTCACGTGTAAACAAAACGTCGTTTAAAAGAGAAACCACGTCGGATTTTTCACCATACGACGTAAACTCAATATTCCACGACTCAATCACCGTCGTTAAAAGTAATACCCTAAACTTTAAAACCATAAATTATATATTTGTAAAATTTAATTTTATAAAATTGTTTATGGTTTTACATCCTAATAAATAACAACATAAACCCTAAACCCCAAAAATTATACTTTAACCCATAAACCCTAATAAATAACAACCCTAAACCCCAAACCCTAAACCCTAAACCATCAAACTATATAAGTGATGCTATGACTCATAAAACAATTTATTTTGGTTGGTCATTTTAAACTTTTATTACACAAACTGCATTTTTTTGGGGTTTAGGGGGAAGAAAATATATCAATGACTTCATAGGAGTTGAAGTTGAATTTTTTGAATTTATTTTAAATTTATTTTTAAAATTTTGAATTAAAATAATAAAATATTCTTATATCAACAACAAACCACGGCGGGTTAAGTAAACTAACGACGTTGTAAATAATAATAAACGACTAACAGTGTAAACAAACGTCGTTTAAAAGAGAAACCACGTCGGATTTTTCACCATACGACGTAAACTCAATATTCCACGACTCAATCACCGTCGTTAAAAGTAATACCCTAAACTTTAAAACCATAAATTATATATTTGTAAAATTTAATTTTATAAAATTGTTTATGGTTTTACATCCTAATAAATAACAAACATAAACCCTAAACCCCAAAAATTATACTTTAACCATAAACCCTAATAAATAACAACCCTAAACCCCAAACCCTAAACCCTAAACCATCAAACTATATAAGTGATGCTATGACTCATCAAAACAATTTTATTTTGGGTTGGTCATTTTAAACTTTTATTACACAAACTGCATTTTTTTGGGGTTTAGGGGGAAGAAAATATATCAATGACTTCATAGGAGTTGAAGTTGAATTTTTTGGATTTATTTTAAATTTATTTTTAATATTTTGAATTAAAAATAATAAAATATTCTTATATCAACAACAAACCACGTCGGGGTTAAGTAATAACGACGTTGTAATAATATAAACGACTCACTTGTAAAAAGGACGTCGTTTAAAAGAGAAACCATGGCGGATTTTCCATCGAAATAAATATTCCACGACTAATCACCGTCGTTAAAAGGTATTAACCTAAACCTAATGAACGCTTACTTGTTCAAAACGTCGTTTAAAAACAAACCATGGCGAAATTTTCACTAAAACGACGTCCCATGTACGTACAAACGTATATCACGTCTAAATATCCTTTTACGTCGGTTTTTGACATAATTATGTCGTTGGAAAGTTATTACACGTCGGTTACGCAATTTGTTTTTTCTTTTATAATATGAAAACCTCAGCAAATTTTCAGGGAAAAAAAAGGATGTATATTATAGACAAAATTTGTACATTATATATTATAGACAAAATTTGTACATATAAAAATATCAAGTGTTCCAAAAATCCTCTAATCCATATGAAGGCAAACAAATCTGCCCATTCTTTCCGGACTTCATCAATGGCTGCTTGGGGGTATGGCGCTTGCTCTTTTCCCTTGGCAAACTGCAATCCATAAACAATGATTATTAAGCTTTACAAAATAAAAAGAAATTCAGTCACAGACGACGCTTTTTTTCATAACCGACGTAGTATATCGATTCAACGACGGTAATTTTAAATGACCGTCGTTGATAATACAAAAAACCACATAAAATGTTTCTGAAAATTTTCTTCTTACCTTCTTCTCAAACTCCAAGGAAGGATCCATGATGATGTCCCTCATGAAGCGCATCACATAATACCCGCATTCGACACTGCTGGGTTGCTTTGGTGTGCCTGGCAGAGTTTTCCAAATTGGTGCTTTACGGCCTGGTCTGCCTATGTGGGAATTATAAATTTTTAAAGCACTGTTCACGATGTTTTTGCCCTCCTCATCAACCACACGATTTCCAGGCAGAGGATCCAGAAAATAGACGGTTTCCCTCTTTGCTCTCACAATCAGCAAGACCCAATGACGGCTGCACAAAATTAAAATAAAAAACGACGGTTAATATAAAAAGTCAACACAAGAAAACAAACGACGGTTATTTATAAAAAACGACGTATTATATAGTTTCACACGACGTAATAACGTAGCAATCGACGTCATTATAAATTTATCACGACGGTAATTAACTACCGACGTGGTTAGTTGTTTCAAACGACTCAATAAATAAATAACCGACGTGGTTAGATGTTTCAAACGACACAAATTAGTTAAACAGTTTTATAAGGGGTCAGTTAGTGAAAATCATACAAACAAAATCCTTTTAAGGAGACTAACCCTGGATTGTAAGGCATCATGAAAATCTGTTCACCATCTGTTTTCTGAAGTCGACTGGCTACAATTCGTGATCTGTCAGTTAGTGACCCAGCGTTGGCACTAACTTGAGCAGGGTCGATAAAGCCAACCATGCTGCACATATTTGCTTCTCTCAAACGATCATATAAGCACCTAAATATAAAACAAAGATATATAAAAAGTCAGCCCAAAAAACACGACGGTTATTTATAACAAACGACGTATTATACAATTTCACACGACGAACTGAAATAGAAACAGACGTTATAACTAATTTATCACGACGGTAAAAAAAGAACGACGTGGTTAGTGGTTTAAAACGACGCAATAAATAAACCACCGACGTCTTATGCTATAATGTTTTTTTTTCTCATACACAAATTTGAGTGTGAATTAAATATTTGATAAGGACAAACCTCATATATACTGCAACCACAGTAGCCCCAATTTCTTCCATGCCTGCAAACTGTGTAATATCTTCATGCAAGACGAAGGTACTGCGATCTGCACCAAACACCTCCTTCTCAATTGTGAAGGTCATGATCTTCTCCTGAGGCTTTAGTGTCGTTTCCACATAACGACAAAGGGATTGTAAGGAAGATGGCACCTCCACATTTGAATAATCAACTACTTCATTACCCTGTTTAAAGAAATAAAGCAAAATAAAATGACGTGGTAATTCAATAAAAACGACGGTTTAAATAAAAACACGTCGTCTGATAATAATTTAAACGACGGTAATAAAAAACCGTCGTGTTAAATAATTTATTACGTCATAGAAACAAATTCCGACGTCTAATTTGAAAACAAACGACGGTTTAAAGAAAAATATCGACGTCTGAAATTTGAAAAACAAATAAAAAGGCAAAGTTATGAGAATATACCTCTTCGTCATGCTTTTCTTCATCTTGTTTTTCTTCTTTCTTCTCTTCTCTTCTTCATCTTTTTCTCTTTTTTTTCTTCCTTCTTCTCTTCATCTTTTTTTTCTCTCCTTCTTCTCTTCATCTTTTTTTCTTCTTTCTTCTCTTCATCTTGATTTTCTAAAGCCCCAGATTTCTGTTTTAAGTAATAAAGAAATATATATATAAGACAGATTGTACAGAAAGTAAAAAATTAAATCAAAACGTGGTAAGGCATAACATAAGACGGTATGTAGAATTATGGACGTCTTAAAATTATTAAACGATGGTAAATAATAAACGTCGTGGGATTTGTCTATTACGTCGGTAAGGACTAAAACCGTCGTCTAAAAACCACAAAGTACGACGTCTAATGGCGTGTAAAACAAGTAAACTAAATACGACGTGGTATTTGAAATACAAACGACGGTTTATTTATAAAATCGTCGTGGTATGATTTTCAAACGACGGGTTTTCTTCATAATAACGACGTCTAATAGTTTTTAAAAAAACAGAGAATTCAAAGTTCAGATATGTTACCGTTTCTTCCTGCTGTTCCCCATTTTTGGCAGTATCATCCTCTAAATGTGGGGATCTCACATCAGCCCCAGAGCAGCTTGCTTTGTCAGACATTGGATTTTTGGGACTTTGCTCTAGACCTTGGTTTTGACAGGGGCTAGTTTTCGGTTTAAGCATGCTTGGATCAAAATTGGGGATGAGTTGGGAAAGCTGACTAGTAAATGTTCCCTCTCAGCCTCTACCAATTGCTTGGTTCTAGCCTCCATCCTTAAAGTCTCTTCCCTTGATCTAGCTTCCATCTTCTTAGTCTCTTCTTGAAGGACAATTCTTACACTTTCCTTCAATTGATCGGCAAACTTTACCCTCTGTTGTCTAGGTAAATTGAAGTATTGCCTAGGGGAAATCCCAGCACCTACCCCTCTTACTCTCCCTGGATGCTCGGGACCCAAAGCCAAGGTCAACACATCATTACTGCCAGATACACTAAGACTGCCTTCAGCCACTTGTTTTTGCAATTCATCCTAAAACAAAGACATATAAAAAAGTCAGCACAAGAAAACACACGACGGTTATTTATAAACAAACGACGTATTATATAATTTCACACGACGCAATAACATAGAAATCGACGTTATAATATATTTATAACGACGTTATAACGACGTGGTTAGTTGTTTCAAACGACGCAATAAATAAACCACCGACGTCTTATGCTATAATTACAGAAAACATAGCAGTGATTCCATATTCAGACCTTTAACGACGTTTTTTAAAACATTTCGACGTAGTAATATCATTCACACGACGCAAAAATTAACCACCGACGTCTTATGCTATAATTACAGAAAACAGAGTTGTGATTCCAGATTTAGATCTTTCACGACGTTTTTTTAAAACATTTCGACGTAGTAATATCATTCACACGACGGAAAATATAACATAAGACGTAATAAGAATTATACACAGTTTAATAAAAATTTAAAACAGAGTGTGTAGGCTTACAATTAATTTTGCTTTCTCTGCCACCTTTGGATCCGGGATGTTACCATGTTTGTCCTGTCTAGCTTTCTTCCATAAGGTAGATCGATCAATTTCTACCCCCAGGCATGGTTTCCTCCAATTGATCCTCCAAACCAGCATATCCTTTTCGAGACAATCGATGATTGTACTCAAGTTTCTCCCTAATCTGTGAATGTTGAGAATGCACAGACTCAAATTCTTTGGATAACCTTGAAGCTACAAAGGCATCCCATTCTGCTTTCTCTATGAATTTATATATTTCAGGGGGTTGGCTTAATTTCTCCCTCTCCTTGATGTATGGAAGGATATAATGCCTCGTTAGTGTAGACTTGAAATCCTTCCATTTCTTGGCAGCAGAAGATAACACCGAGGTCTTGCCCCCTTGACCTACCACAAAAGCCATGTCAACGGCTTCCCAAATCTGCTCCTTTATATCCTTGGGGATTTCAGCCCATTTCTTGTCCACAAGTGGGACTCTGGAGCGTGCCAACACACCAATGTAGGACTGCATCTCAGTATGTGCAGGGCCACATCCTTTCCCCCCCTTTTATTGTACTCAACAACTGGCTTGATTTTCTGCAATTTTCTCTTCACAACACGAGGCATTGTGCTCATACCTCGACCTGACTTTGAATCCTCAGAAATTGTTGTCGTGCTGGTTGGTTCTGTCTCAGCAGATGAAACAAACTTCATCTTCTTCAAGGGCTTGTCTTGAGGAGTTACCATTCCAAGCTCCTTACCTCCATTTTTTTTGGAGCCAGAGTCCTTACTTTGGTCTTGAGAAACCATGGTTACAGAAAAAACAAACCTGCAAGTGAAAATATTTCAGGAAAAAAATAAGAACACAAACGACGGTTATTTATAAAACACGACGTATGATAAGATTTTACACGACGCAATAACATAACATCAGACGTAATAAATGTTTAAAACGAGAGTACTTAAACAACGACGAAACAATATTAAAGAAGACGTAATAAGAACTTATTACGGCGATATTTACACGACGTCGTGATATTAAATTCACACGACGTGAATATTAATATAACGTCGTGGTATGGACATTCACACGACGTAAATAATAAGATACCGTCGTCTGTATAAGAATCCAAAAACCTTTTTCTTTCTCTGTGAATGTTTGATTGCAGGTTTAATTTCTCTGAAACATGGTTTTTGTTTTTCCTAATTTGATAAAATACAAAGAAAAGAAAGAAAGGTTTGGCATCTTATATAGACGACGGTATCTTAGTATAACGTCGTGGTATTAACATTCACACGGCGTCAATAATAAGATACCGTCGTCTATATAAGATACCAAACCCTACTTTCTTTGTCTTTGTATTTTATCAAATTAGGAAAAACGAAAACCATGGTTCAGAGAAATCAAACCTGCAATTAAACAAGCAAATAAAAAATCGACGGTCATTTTAAAAACAACTTAGATCAATTTTAAGACGACGCTAGGACGACTGACGAACCGTCGTGGTCTACATATTTAACCACGTAAATAAGAAGCTACCGTCGTCTTATTTAGTTGAAGTAGTTGTGTTCAAAGTTGGAAACTTTCCCTCTTTGTCTGTGTATTTTATCAAACTTGGAAAGAATAAAATGATTTTGGCCAGAAAAAAGGTAAAAAGATTTTCAAAACAAAAACCGTATGAGCATGCAAAATAGCAACAAAAATAGTGAGAAATGAAAGCTTACCTTTTGCGTGCAATGAAAGCTTTCTCTCGGAGTTTTGGTGTTTAAGTTCAGAGACGACGACGAAGACGAGAGGAAGACGATGAGAAACTCTGACAGTGCTCTGACAAGGAAAAAAGACGAAAAGTTTTCTCTGGGAGATTGAAATTTTTTCTCGGGTTTGGAAACAGTGCATGTGTAAGTCAGGTAGACGAAAAGTTGTATATATATACAAACCGTTTCATAATAATAAGACGGCGGTTTACATAGAACGACGACGTATAAATAAACAAACTACGACGATAATTTGAACTTAGGACGTGGTAAATAAATACGACAGTAGTGTTGTAGGTACTGTCGTAGTAAACTCCTAAATAAAAGTCGATAAATCAATATCTCGCGTCATGGTAGAAGTATTTAACACGTCGTTTTTTGTAATTTACCGACGTTGATTTTTATAATATACGTCGTTTTTTTGTAATATACCGACGTGGAATTTTAAATAAACGGCGGTTTGTGTGTAAGGACCGCCGTGGGTTTTAAAAATTTATTGTATAAATTTGTCGCTTTCTTTCAGTTTCAGTTTTCATTTAGGTTTCCAAGTTCTTCCTCTCTCACAGACACTCTCTCTCACATCTCAAGACATAATTTGGATGTCTTCTCAAAGAGAAATGGAGCTTACTCTCCAACAAATCTATGTCCACAAGAGGAAGCTTGTCAAGCCTGATAGGAGACTTAGTGCTTCTGAATACTCCTTGCTTTCCATCAAAAGAGATGCAAGCCTGGCCTCCACTCGCTGTCGAAGGAAAGTTCGCTTCTCAGGGAAACCTGAAGATCAGATGTGCTCCTCTGCTCGATTTTCTTGGCTAAGAAGATCCGTCAGATTTGTGATAGCCTGTTCCTTTATCCGTAGAGCTTCTGAAGAAGAAGATGGGTTTTCAAGAATGCGATAAAGAATAGAAATGGCTTCAGATGGCCTCTAAAGCCTGAGCAATCGAATCAGATGGCTTCAGCTGTCAATGCTTTGAACTATCCAAGTCCTGCAGAAAGAGAACGGTTAAAGAAATTGAAACAACGACGGTTTTCTGTTCTACCGTCGTCTTTTTTTAAACTAAGACGACGCAATATTTTTTTTCGCGACGTGGATTCGTTTTTAAAACGTCGTTATGTGTAATATAACCGACGTGGATTTTATTTTTTAATTATAAATAGAATTTTTTTTCCCTTGTTCTTTCAGTTTATTTTTAAAAAACAGTGCGTTATAAATAGAGTTTTTTTTCCCGAGGAAATTAATGTTCTAGAATTTGTAAAGTTTCTTTTTTGGGTGACTGATTTAAATCAAATACGAATATAAAAACAACGACTGTTTTTTGTTATACCGTCGTCTTTTTTTGTCGTCTTAAGTAAGACTAAGACGACGTAATGTATTTGTTCCCGACGTGGATTCTTTTTGTTAAACGTCGTTAGGTGTAATATAACCGACGTGGATTTGGTTTTTTAATTATAATAGGGTTTTTTTTCACGGGTTCTTTCAGTTTTAGTATTCGATTAGGGTTTCAACTTCTTCTTGCCCCTTTCTCTGTCTCACCTCATCTCTTAGGAGGCAATTGTTTGAATGTTGGTGTGTGTGTGTATGTTTGTGTATCTGATTCACAAACATACACACATCACCAATTTTCAAAAAATTGTCTCTCTGATTGCAAATCTGTGGCTGCCGTCGTGAAGTTTTAGGAGGCAATTGTTTGGATGTTGATGTGTGTGTGCGTTTGTGTAGATACACAAACGCACACACATCAACTTCCAAAAATTGTCTCTCTGATTGCAAATCTGAGGCTGCCGTCGTCAAATTTCAGAAGCAATTTTTTGGATGTTAAATGTGTATGTGCGTTTGTGTATCTCAAAGACACAAATACACATACATCATTAACCTCTAAAATATTGTCTTTCTGGTAAGATTATGATGAGGAACAGAGTTCCATCTTGTAAGATTTTCCTAACCCTTGTGATCTCAGAAAAATCTGATTATGTCGGCGGTTTTCTATATAAACCGTCGTGGTTATTTCAATTCTTGTCATTAAGTAGATCTACCGACGTAGGATAACAAAATCCAAGAAATAAATTGTTAAAAAAAATTCTTATTAAGACGACGGTTTAAATATAATGTATGACGTATAAAGTGAATAAATACGACGTTAAATTGTATAATACGTCGTTAAATGAAAACCCCAACGTGGTGAGATTTAAAGATACCGTCGTAGAAATACGAGAAAGACGTCGTTATATTTATCTTTGCCGTAGTTGTACATTAATTTAATACGGCGGTATTTTGTATTTTACCGCCGTGGATTTATTTGTAATTATACGGCGCCTTATACGAAAACTTGGTCGTGTTAATTTCTGGGTAAAAACGGCGGCTTTTTTTTGAAATCGTCGTCTTTACTTTCTACGTCGGTCGGTTCATAACTTCCGCCGTTCTTTGTTGGCTTTGATTTTACTACTTGGAAATCCTATTTCAATAAGACGTCGGTTTTTTAATTAGGTACGTCGTGTTTTAGGAACAGCCATTTGAATCTCCATTTTTTTTTTTTTTTTTTTTTTTTTTTTTTTTTTTTTTTTTTTTTTTTTTTTTTTTTTTTTTTTTTTTTTTTTTTTTTTTTTTTTTTTTTTTTTTTTTTTTTTTTTTTTTTTTTTTTTTTTTTTTTTTTTTTTTTTTTTTTTTTTTTTTTTTTTTTTTTTTTTTTTTTTTTTTTTTTTTTTTTTTTTTTTTTTTTTTTTTTTTTTTTTTTTTTTTTTTTTTTTTTTTTTTTTTTTTTTTTTTTTTTTTTTTTTTTTTTTTTTTTTTTTTTTTTTTTTTTTTTTTTTTTTTTTTTTTTTTTTTTTTTTTTTTTTTTTTTTTTTTTTTTTTTTTTTTTTTTTTTTTTTTTTTTTTTTTTTTTTTTTTTTTTTTTTTTTTTTTTTTTTTTTTTTTTTAGGCACTCTAGATCCGATCCTCGTAATCTATTTTCTAGCTATCGGTAAGGGCGGCAAAACAAACACAAAAAAGGGATTTTCTCGACCAATAAAGAGAGGGATTTGAAGCGCGAGCCCTATCAACTCCTTTAGAAAAGAGGAATAGTTCCAGTGATCAGGAATTTGCCCTATCACCTTCGGTGCCTCCTTCTTTCAAACTCACTTTATCCAAAATCGGCTTTCTCATAGGCTTGCTCACTTAAGACATAGTACAGAATAGGGCTTCCTCTTTATCCTGCCTTACAAGGTTAGACCCTTACTACCCTCTACCCCTTAGACAATGGATCGACATGAGAGGGATTAGGAATAGAAGGACCTAGCACTATCATAGGAGTCAGTTTTCTCTCAATGTAAGAACTCTCACTAGAGAGGCTTGCTTACCTTATGACTTCAACTGGAAGGGCAGCGGGGAAAGCTACTCCAAGTAAACTGACTAGCCTACGCTAAAGAACCTCTTCGCTTTGCTTTGTTCGAGTCACTTCGTCCCTCTAACACAAGGGAATTTGAAAGCTTTCGTGTGAAGAGTAAAGGTCAAGCTAGAAAGCCAGGTTCTTTCACCAATCCATCGAGTGTAATTCCTGCTATTGGGAGTTCTGCATTAAAGTAGAAGCTAGCAAAGCAAGCCAGGGAAGCTAATTGCGACAGTTAAGCTCTTTCAAGTTTGTAATCTTTTGAAAGCTATCCTGTTACAGATCCTGTTAGCAAGCCATTTTCTTTTTAGCCTGTTTCAGGCTGTTTCTGGATAAGCCATGGAAGACTCTGGAGTTTCAGTGTCCGTAACAGTTTTTCCTCCTGCCATGGGGAGTTCCCCACCAGTCCCTC